AGCGAGAGGGTGGTGTCATTGACCAAGAGCCCCCGCTGGTTGTTGACACCGTGGTAGATTACACTAATTGCTCCCAGAACCACTTTATTCCATTTGTTTCGCAAAGCAACACCCGGCGGTAGTCGGATTCGTGGACCACGGGCCACCAAAGTAAATAAACATATCACGCCACAGGACCCTCACAAGTACAAGGATGTACTCGTCCTCTACAGGCGGCATGCGTGTAAAACAAATCAATTCTAAAACTAAAATATAATCTACAATGAATAAAAAAGAGCTGTGAACACTGGGTGGGGTACAACAAGCAGTATTGGACCTACAGATTGAATGGACTTGTCACTTCCTGTGGATATGAGGGAAGGATAAAACATCACCAACCCTGGAGGGTGCAAACAACATGTAACATTTAGTTAGCCAGACCCGGCATGCACCGGTCGTGGTGGTTGTGGTGATACGAGAGGACACAGAGGAGAGCGACTCTTCAGGTAGACACTGCTCCTCTGTATCTTCACTGAAAGAAGTAGCGGTTTGCTGCTAAATTCATGCTTTGAATCCCGCGTGTCGCGCCGTAGAATGTAAACGCTATTGCGAAGCTGAACCCTCAACATCATAATTCTTATCGTATTAAACTGTGACGCACTTAGCAATATTCATGAGGTCAAACACAGCTGTCTCCTTCTCCTCAATCCCTACGTTGTGATGGCAGTGATGTGCAAATGATAAAATAACGATTGAACTAAAACAAGTTTTGTGGTCCGACTGTCTCAACAGAAGTGCATTGCTAGGCAACAGCTTGGGTCCGTGTTTACTTCATCTCCTGCTGATTCACCCCCTCTGAAACAAGGAATTTAGAAACAGACGTATTTGGAATGTTTACGTGTATGACCGTGAAATATGAAGTGCTCTGACTGTCTGAGGACCTGCGTAGGTTTGGGAATAAGGAAAACATCATGTGAGATGGTCGCGATGTCCTCTAGTGACCTTAAGAGCGCCGGCAGCGCCGACCTCGAAAGGACGTTCAAAGGGGAGTTCAACCATCGTACACCTTTTCCCTCCTCTGGATAATGAGGACAATGTTTCCTGTAATAAATATAACGCCACGGTCAAAACATAATCACGTGCCTGATAGAACTTCCAGCACCCATTGTTCAAATCTCCAGTACCCATTGTCTCTCTCTCTCTTGCTGTGAAAAAGCAGACCTGTTCTATCTTTCCGTTTCTGCGTTAGGAGCGGCCACATCCCAGCCCCCACCTCCCCACAACCTCTCTAGCTGCCTCCTCCTCCTCATCAGCCTCCCCCCCTCATACTCTCCCTCCCTCTCGTGGCCCGTTGCCATGGAAGCTGATTGGAAGGATCACTTTGCCTCTCCAGCACTTTGCCACTCCGCACTCGCCAGGAGAAAACAAGGCAATTCAGAGCAAAGCGGAAAAACCTCCCGAAAAATAGAAAGGCCCTTCTTGAGTATGAAGTGACGGTCAGCTATTAGTTGGTCACAAAAAAGATGAGCTAAATATTCAAAAGGTTATCAGTATTTTTTCTAAATTTAATTTTAAAGGGGCCGTAACTTCACGTCTTCCTTTTTCAATTTTCTTCTAAAACACCTATAATCGTGTATTATATTGACAGTTCTGCAATGCTTATTGAATATGTATTTATACCAAACATTTTATTTATGTGCCGATGAAAAATGTTGCCCTCGTGGTCAAGGACACCACTCCCAGGTGGTTTTCCTCTGACAGCTTTGGTACGTTTTAATTAGCATTTCTCTAATAAATGAAGCCCCTCATGCAAAGGGAGAGAGAGAGAGAGAGAGAGAGAGAGAGAGAGAGAAGGGGGAGAATAATCAGTTGTTGCGGATCTTAGCAATAATGTTCCATCTGGCAGATGTGTTTCAAACCAGCACAATGTGGACTCGCCTCTGATTACCACGCGAGGCTATAACAATTAGGTGTATTATGAATGTTTGCTTAACTGTTAACTCCCTAAAATGAAAGAGCAATGTGATGTGTTTCTCGTTGGTCACAAAGCCGTAAACCTCAGTGAAGAACTCAGTCCAGGCTCATATGTGCTGCAATAGAAAAATAAAATAAAATGATGATTTTTCTGTAACACACAAACTGTCTGCCTCTCTCTCTCTCTGCGTACAGTACACTGCACCACCTCAAGGCTAAGCCTCTTGGTAGCTTCATTTTTTTTATATTTTTCAGCCAAGCTCGGCTCTAATGGGAAGATGGAACATTCAGGGTCTAGCTATTACTATAGCAACAATGTTTGGGGCTTTTGGGCGTGGGGTGGGCTGGTTGATCACATCGTTTTGGATAGAACGTCATATTCATAGCGACCTTCCAAAGCGCGAGGTACATAACGAGTGCTCCAGTTCTTATAGTATATATATACATATATATATATGTATTTATAGTTTATTTGCATTCTGAGCAGTGGGAACCTTGTAGCTGGGTCCAATGTGGAGGGCACATACACAAATACTGAGAGATGTTACAGCTACAAGCTCTTCTCTTCCTAAACTACATTCTTACTTTACATCAAAACTACCTGGGAAAGGTTTAATAAAATGTTTCACCATTTAAGTTAGGAACTTGAATTAAAACAAAAATGTGTCTCATAGGACATTCAAAATTGGGGGGCATAACACGTTACCATGACAACACCATAAAATGTTGTGGACCATTTACTGAAACTTGATTTGAACGTCTTGCAGGCTCCTCATGAGTTTATTTCACACCAGCTTCAAGTAGTAATATACATTATTTGCTTGCATACCTCTGCCTTTCAATCTTTCATGTGATTTTATGTTGCATCTTTAACACTCAATGTTTTTGTATGAATTGAATATGCCATGATTAAAGCACATGTGCCGTCTTCTTGTTGACCTTTATTTGTATGTCTAAGGCTTCCAGTGGGTGTCCGTGTGGTTATTTTCATCTCTCACCGTAGAAAAATGGCTCTGGAACAACACGGGCTGCGATGAATGACAACCGTGTGTTGTGTTGATTGCGACAGTCACAGCTGGTCCATTTGTCTTCTGCGTGTCCTGCTTCCCGTTGTGACGTTTAATCAGCATTTGTCTGTAGGAAAAAGAACGGAAGATCAATGAGTGTGTCCTGAAAGAGTGTGTCCTAAAGGAGTGAGTCCTGAAAGAGTGAGTTCTAAAGGAGCGTGTCCTGAAAGAGTGTGTCCTAAAGGAGTGAGTCCTGAAAGAGTGAGTTCTAAAGGAGCGTGTCCTGAAAGAGTGTGTCCTAAGGGAGTGAGTCCTGAAAGAGTGAGTTCTAAAGGAGCGTGTCCTGAAAGAGTGTGTCCTAAGGGAGTGGGTCCTAAAGGAGTGAGTCCTAAGGGAGCGAGTCCTAACGGAGTGTGTCCTGAAAGAGTGTGTCCTAAGGGAGTGGGTCCTAAAGGAGTGAGTCCTAAGGGAGTGAGTCCTAACGGAGTGTGTCCTGAAGGAGTGAGTCCTGAAAGAGTGAGTTCTAAAGGAGCGTGTCCTAAAAGAGTGTGTCCTAAAGGAGTGAGTCCTGAAAGAGTGAGTTCTAAAGGAGCGTGTCCTGAAAGAGTGTGTCCTAAAGGAGTGAGTCCTGAAAGAGTGAGTTCTAAAGGAGCGTGTCCTGAAAGAGTGTGTCCTGAAAGAGTGTGTCCTAAGGGAGTGGGTCCTAAAGGAGTGAGTCCTAAGGGAGTGAGTCCTGAAGGAGTGAGTCCTAAAGGAGTGTGTCCTGAAAGAGTGAGTCCTAAGGGAGCGTGTCCTGAAGGAGTGAGTCCTAAGGGAGTGTGTCCTAGGAGTGTGAGGGTGTGCTAAAGGAGTGAGTCCTAAAGGAGGAGTGCGTCCTAAGGGAGTGTGTGCTGAAGGAGTGAGTCTTAGGAGAGTGAGTCCTAAAGGAGGAGTGCGTCCTAAGGGAGCGTGCCCTGAAGGAGTGAGTCCTAAAGGAGTGTGTCCTAGGAGTGTGAGGGTGTGCTAAAGGAGTGAGTCCTAAAGGAGGAGTGTGTCCTAAGGGAGTGTGTGCTGAAGGAGTGAGTCTTAGAGGAGTGAGTCCTAAAGAAGGAGTGCGTTCTAAGGGAGCGTGCCCTTGAAGGAGTGAGTCCTAAAGGAGTGTGTCCTAGGAGTGTGAGGGTGTGCTAAAGGAGTGAGTCCTAAAAGAGGAGTGCGTCCTAAGCGAGCGTGTGCTGAAGGAGCGTGTCCTACAGGAGTGTGTCCTAGGAGTGTGAATGTGTCCTAAGGCAGTGTGACCTAAACACACGGTCAGTGTGAAACACTTGTCTTGTTTGCTTGGATTAATAAGGCAACACAAGCACTTAATTAGACTTAGGTAATACCATTACTGGTTTAGATTTAACCAAAACTCCTGCTTACGGTTTAGCCAACAAGAAATGAATATTATTTAGGTGAAATATTGTATAGCGGAGAAAAACTAAGATGACATGTTTAGATGTAATTATAGGAAATGCTGCCAACACATTAGTGTTAACAATTCTCCTGAAGACGGTGGGGAAAAGGTGCTTCACGTAGCACAATCCACACTTGTACACCCCCACCCCATCATATGCACCACCCCCCCCCCCCCCCCCCCCCCTCTCTTGCTTCACACCACAGTCAAGCTCCAGCGGCAGCAGCGTCGAGCTAACAGTCTTTGTGAGGACAGAGAGAGAGAGAGAGAGAGAGAGAGAGAGACAAAGTAGTGGTGTGTGCGTGTGTGAGGACAGGGAGGGGGTTGGGGGGGAGCGTAGGAGGAGAGTGTGTAACGTAGTGACAGAGGTGTTCAGGGTTGCACTATAGTGCCAAAGGCTGCTGGGAAGAGAGAGAGGGAGGAGAGAGAGGGAGAGAGAGAGGGAGGGAGAGAGAGGGAGAGAGAGAGAGAGAGAGAGAGAGAGAGAGAGAGAGAGAGAGAGAGAGAGAGAGAGGGAGGGAGAGAGAGGGAGAGAGAGAGGGAGGGAGAGAGAGGGAGAGAGAGAGAGAGAGAGAGAGAGAGAGAGAGAGAGAGAGAGAGAGAGAGAGAGAGGGAGGGAGAGAGAGGGATAGAGAGGCGGGCATCATGGCAGCGCTCGCTGCATCATCACGACACATGTTTGGCTGCTGTTGGCGAAGCAGCGAGTGATGCGCAGGAGAGACTCGAGGACTTCCTGGAAACCAAAAGGCGAGGAAACAGGTCAGTGGCGGTCAGACAGGCTCACAGGAACCTTCTCTCCTCTCCTCTCCTCTCCTCTCTCCTCTCTCCTCTCCCCTCCTGCGTGCAGCAGCGCAGGTGCTGCGGGACTCCGTCACGGGCACCGGCTTGATGCCGGTGCGCATTTGTCAATAAGAATTCCCCTGTCGGGTTTGTTTACCACGGGGACTCGCAGGTTTACGCGTGTGCGAGTCCCAGAGCCATGGCCAGCACGGGGGGGGGGGGGCTCTCATGGATCCGAGGTAAAAAAATAACTGCAGCAGACTGCCATCAAATAGATAGAGAGATGTTACTTTGCACAATGTTGGCAGTTAATTGCTCCTCACAAGCTGTAAGCCGGAGTCCTGCTTGGTTAGAGAGTAATTGGAAGGGAACTAACAATTCAAAAAGCATGAGGTTCCGCCTGTAATACTAGTATTGCAGTGAGAGGAAGGAGACAAAGCCTCAGAGAGGAGAAGCTTGGCCCAGTATTCAGCTCTGCTGCATGTGATGTAATCCTCCACTGGTCCAAGCACTCAGCTCAACAGTTATTTTTATTTGTACAAATTTGAAATTGACAACAAAGTGCAAAGAGCATACCATGTGTGCAGATCATATCTTATCAGAAATGTTGTCCGACACTCACAATAAGAGCAACCGATGGATAATATTGGTTAATTTAATCCCAATTTAATAATAATTACGAGTGTAACATTTTGTTTTGACTCCAGTCTTCCGCTTTCACAAAGTTTTATATGTATGGTGTGGTGCCAACTTTTGCACAAGACATACTCAACTAATTAAAAAAAAACAGATTTGTTGAGCTATTTACTAAGCTACAGTCATTACTTTATTGTAGAACTTTGTTATGTTTGACTTTGTGTTCACAGCAGTACAAAAAAATACGCCATTGATAATGTCAACTCCTTAAATACATAAAAGAGCTCTTTTAGCTCTGTTTTTGTTCTCCACCAGCTCCTATTATTAACTTTTTAAGATGTTCAGGTTGTTGTTATCATTAGTGTCATCAATACTCTGGCTTACATACACCTGTGGTGACCCATGAACTTTGTACAGGTGCGACCAGTGAGAGGAGCCTCAAGATGAGTGGGATCCTGAAGAGGAAGCTGGAGGAGGCCCCGCCCCCTTACCTGTCCCTGCCGGGCTCCGACGACGACGTTTCCTGCAGCGACAGCGGCAACAGCAGCGATAGTCTCAACCACGCCGTCCCCTCAGGGCTGCTGGACTGTAAGACCACATTGTTACCACAAGCTCGTGTGTTTTTGGTGCAATAGATTGGGATCATTTAAGATTTAAAAAATATATATTGTTGGCGGCAATTCCAGATCCCCACCTCCTCACTTGTGGTGTCCCGCAGAATCTGTTTTGGGACCACTTTATTTTTTGATATACAATATATACATATATTATGGCAGCGTACGTTCCCATACAATGCAACTGTATTGTGAATTATGTGGGAAAGCACTTTGTTGAGGATTGTGTTTGCTTTTAACGTGTAACGAATAAGTAAAAAAGTCCACATTACTGGTGGATTGGTCAAAAAACACTTTCGCCCAGGAAACTGAAGCGTGTCTTAATTGTGCACCAAGTACTTCTGAATTCTGCCTGAACATAAGCAAGTGCCTTTGTTGCCTGAACATAACAAAGTACTTTCAATGCCTAAATATAGCCCGAAACTTTTGCCTGAATATAACAAGCACTTTTCTAACCCTAAATAATTAGTTTTGCAGTTTAGCTGCAGCTGTTATCTAGGGAGAATGCATGTCCATAAAAGAATAAATTAGTGAGGTGACACGTATTAGTGAAGATTCAAGGGATTTCACATTAAGTCATGTTGTTTTTTTCCCCATATGTTTCCTCATACGTGCCTCAGCTACTCTCCAGCAGCAGTCCAAGAGACTGCGGGGCCGCAACGTGCACTTTGAGAGCGTGACCGTGTACTACTTCAACCGCCGGCAGGGCTTCACCACAGTGCCCACGCAGGGCGGCAGCACCTTGGGGATGTCGCCGCGTCACAGCGGGGTGAGGCGCTTCACCCTGCGGGAGTTTGCCATGGAGCAGAAACGGAGCCACCGCATTATGTTGAGGGATCATCTCAAAGAAGAGAAGCTCAACGCCATCAAACTCAAAGTCAGTGGCACAACGCAGTGAAGCCTTATTTCGCACGTCGATTAAAAAGCCTGTGCTCGCGGGTTTTTGGGGAAGGGATTGGTTTTGCGTACACGTTTGGTCCAAACATACTTTTTCTGTCCCCCAGCTGACTAAAAATGGCACAGTGCCATCTGTGGAGGCGGACACCCTGACCCTGGACGACATATCCGAAGACGACCTGGACGTGGACAACACCGAGGTGGACGACTACTTCTTCCTCCAGCCTCTGACTACCAGGAGGCGCCGGGCCCTGCTGCGCTCCTCGGGGGTCCGACGCCTCGACGTGGAGGAGAAGCACGATCTGCGTGCCCTCCGCGTGTCCCGAGAGGAGTGTGGGTGCCGTTGCCGGGGGACATGCGACCCGGAGACCTGTGCTTGCAGCCTGGCCGGCATTAAGTGCCAGGTAAATGGAACTGTGGTGAGGCCCATCTATAATACTAAAGTGTTGTTCATTTCCAACTGAAAGCAGTACACATATCTCTATACACACACACACACATATATATATATAAATATATATATATATATATATTAGTAGTTTAATTAGTCCTTAGTTATCTTTTTTCAAAACAACTGAAGGTTTTTCTCATTTCTTTTCACTATGCCGTATTTGTGTTCAGAATTCAATCATTCTTTAAGGCTTTTAAGAATACAGTAATTGGGTCTGTCTAAAATTTCCTTCTTGTGCCGTAGTGCCCCCACTCTGAAATCTCACATGTACGACACTTGACTTTTGAAAACCTGATATTTTAAAGTGTTAAGTCTCGGAGAAAAAGCAACCTTCTTTTAGGAAATATGGATTCTAAACATATTGTACAAGGTCTGAGAGGATTTGCACGACCAAATAATGATAAGCCTTGAAAATTTAGAAGATAACTTAAGTTCTACTGCATTAAGGTGTGTAATTATATACACCCACAGTGGATTCTGCAGCATTTCAACAAGCATGACCGGCTATGACTGGCAGCTGAATTCACCTTTTTCGGTCACTGCTGCTCTACACTGTTGGGTCTTTTTCTTTTTCTTTCCTGTCCTCAGGTGGACCGCATGTCCTTCCCTTGTGGCTGCACCAGAGACGGGTGTAGCAACAACACGGGGCGGCTGGAGTTCAACCCGGTCCGGGTGCGCACCCACTTCCTGCACACCATCATGAAGCTGGAACTGGAGAAGAGCCGCGAGGAGCAGCAGCAGCAGCAGCATCATCAGGGGCAGCAGCAGACGGAGCCGCAGCTTGTAACCAATGGCAACGGTTACCATGGCGACTCCTCCTTGGTCCAGCAGCAGCAGCCGAACCTGCAGTTCCCATTGATGAGTGCTACGACGCACATTCCCATCATGCACCTCCAGAACACAGGCGAGTCGGCTCCACATCTAGCCGAAGAGGAGGAGGAGGAGGAGGAGGAAGAGGAGGAGGAAGATGAAGAGGATGATGAGGCTTATGAGGACGACGAGGACGGCAGCAGCGTTTGCAGCGGGCTTTCGGACTGCAGCACCCACAGCTTGGGAACGATCGACCCCGAGGACGTCGAGGAGGACGAGGAGGACGATGACGATGACGAGGAGGACGACGACGACGACGACGAAGAGGAAGACTGGGATTGCACGTTGCACGGAACGAGTCCTCCGCCCTACTCTGTCCCGCTTCCCTCTGTGCTCAGTTACTCCAACGTGAGCCTCGGCCACCCCTTCCACAACACTCCCCCCATGCAGCATTACCAGATAGACAGTGCGGTAAACGGCACTCCTGCTTTCCTCAGTAAAAGTGTCCCCATCGCCCCCCCAACACTCCCCACAGTAGAGGCAGCATTAGAGTCTGAGATAAACCCAAAACTCCACCGCCAGACAGAGCAGCAGAGCCATTTCCCCGAGCCCCCCAGTCCCCAGACGCCCCAGACTGGCTCACAAGTGGACGCCTACGTCAGCCACCCCGCCCCCGCCGGAGCGCTCTCGGTTCCCCACCTAGAACAATCCGGACCGCCATGACTCACAGGCCGAGGCTCCGGTGGGGGGGCGGGGGGGGGAGAGGAAGGAGCCGGTGAAGGAGCAACCAGGACTGCAGAGGCAAGGAGACACCGACCAGATCATAGACATGTCCCGCTCAGGCAGCACCTGAATGAAAGGCTTCGGAGTGGGAGGGGGGGGGGGGGTCATGTCTGGAAATCTTTGATTCAAAAACCGCGTCCCCAAAACCATCAGTTTGATTTATTCTCTATAAGTGCACTTCCAAAGAGGCAATGGGTCATGCAGACTTTGCAACGGGAGGGCTCGAAGGAGGTCTATCTAATCCAAGTTCAGTTTGTCTCCTTTTTAAGATTGTTGGTTGAATAAAATTAAAGATGTTCATTGACAAAGCTCAATAAAACAGTGTTTCTGTGCTGCACTCGTAACTATGTGGAGCATCATTTGTGCTTTGACCATTCCGGCATGTCTCCTGACTGGCATCTATAACAAACCAAGATTTCGAGGTGCTTGTACTCCTTCATTATTTCCCACTGTGTTGGTGTCTCATCGTTGCTGCTAATGGTTCTTAAATGCCTGTCTGTGTAGCATGTGCAGTTTACTTGACATGTTTCCACGCTAACTGTGAAAGGATAAACAACCTTTGGCAAAACACCAAGGCCTTCATATGAGTTACTAGCATCACAAATGCTTGAGCATCTCAGAAGCGAGCCATTGGGCGATGTTTCCCACCAGATGTATTTTAATAATGTCGTACATTCCTTACTGAAGCTTTTAAACGCGTTAATGTCCCTATTGGATCACTTGACTACATGTTGAAGTAGCAACTTAGTGACGAACCCCAAAACAATTGTGACGGATTCCGCAGCTCCCCTAAGCTCCGCGGAGCACTTTAGCGTCCCTCAACTCATTATTTTGGTTCCTGGTTCGCTCTCACGGCTTAATTTCATGCCGGATCAACCAATTTTCCCGATAAATCTCATTATATGCCAACTGCCACCGGGCCGTCACCAACCAGCTAGCAAGCCTTCACTGTTTGAAAAAGGGCAGTTTCCAGGAAGTGGCTACAACTACAAACATTTTAAGCTTTGTGGTGGTGACTTGAAGTCATGTGACCGTCGTGTAGCTCGTTTATAGCGTGACCGTAGCTTCTTACTTACTGTACTTGGGTATCAAACAATTCACAACACCGGTGTTCATGTTGACCTCTGTAGCTGGGACACGTGATCCGGGCTAAGCGGCAAATGCTAAGCTAAGGCAGCTCGCGACCTATAACATCATAACGTTTGCATTTGCGTGGTGAGCGATTAGCCGTCAGCTCATGGCACCGCTGAAGACACATGTTTTTACCTGCTCGTATGTAATCAAACTGTAATTTGAACACGCTGCGAACAAAGCATCCCGCCTGGAATCAACAATATACTATTGCTGAGTATTGGTAATATACTAAGTAAAAATATACTAGTGAATCCAATTCTTCTTAGTATAAGTGGCCTAAATACTTGTCTCTGCATGTTATTTATCCTTTTACAGTTTTCAGAGAAATTAAGGCTTTTGTCGAGGTAACTAACGTCTCTCAAACTATCAATACTGGGTCCAAAAATATGTCATGTTCTTTTTAAAGCAAGTGTACATTTTTATGAGTGTGAATAAAAAAACTTTTTAAAGGTTAATTTGTTAACTTTTTCCACTTTTTCTTAACCCAATGAAAGCGGAGACACTCACAGCCAGAGTATTCTGTTTCTCTACCAGCAGAGGGCAGCTGTTGCCTAACAACCGAGTCTGGTTTGCTCGTCACTGACATCCTCCAACATGACGAAGGGGTTAAACCTCATTATTTTTGTATGACGTCAGCAGATGTGTTGATTGCATGTTTCCTGCCTCAAGGCAATCTGTAGTTTTTCCCCACAAGTCCATCTTTTAAGAACACTCAGATGTCACACCTGTTGATCTGCTGTTATCTGTGGGGCTGATGTGCCCCCCCCCCCCCATCCGATTCTCATTTACACGCTCCCACCGGTTCTTCCTGTTGACTTTAAGCTTGTTGCCTCTAGAAAGCACTGCTGAGTAAACAACACCGTCTTTGTGGAGCCGCTGTTGTGTTCTAACCTTGTTGGCCGGCCTATTGTATGTATAGAAATACAAATCCATGGCATTTGTTGCATAAACACACACAACTGCAGCAGGTGCTGGGTACAATTGAGACCGAGTGTGCATCCCGAAGTGGCCCTCAGACCACAAAGGCCCCGCTCATTGGATCCCGATGTGGATCACAAGGTCATCGCATGACTGCTTCCTTTGCTCAGATAATCAAATCGGACCAGCGTTGGCGCAGGGAGGGGCAGGGTGGGAGAGCACAATTTTCATAGCCTGCAAGGAATTGTGGGTAAGCGAGCTCGCCGGTGATCAATCACAGGCCGGGCGCTGTAATGTTTGGTTGCCAGGCAACAGGAGGGGAGAAGCTGGAGCAGCAGAGCTTTGCTGCTAGGTGGGGGTGGTCTGGGCTTTTCACCTCCTCCTCCTCCCTCTGCGTGTCTGTCTGGCTCTTGTGGGATGAAAACGCGCACATTCAAGGTGTGAAACACTAAAGATGTCTGACACTGAATGCATCGTTTAAAATGCACCTTTAAAGGAGACACAGTTTGTTCCTCAGACATATTTCCCCCATTCCGTCCAGCACACTGATACAACTCTAAACTTAAAATTGTCTGATTTCTAAAAATAGAAAACTGCACTTGGGCTTAGTTTACTATTTGACAAAATCAAAACAAATATAACTCAAGGTCCATTTACTATTCCACTTCCTGGGCTTAAAGTTGCACCACACGGCCTTCATCAGCGAATGAAGATCAGTCTCTCCGGTCGCCAACATCAGTTTCTGATGCTTGATTGTCACTTTTATATGTGGGATGACAAAAGGGGTTCAGCTACAGCAACGCTACGCCCCGAAAGAAATCTAGACCTTGAGTTGAAATCTTTTCATTTTATTTTACGAGGTGAAGAATTAACGCTGAAAGCTCAAACTGAGTAGTAAAAAAATAATACATATATGAAAGGTGACCTCTGCATTTCACCCATGCTAATCAAACCGCCAACTTTAAGAACATCCCTCTCTACCCACCGACTCCACCACACAAAACACATTGTATTTATAACACTCTCCCACAAAGTTAGCTGGGATTGACTCCAGCTGCATGAATGGATGTTTTATAACAACGATTTCTATATCTGCAATTGGGTTTTATTAAATATTACGGACATTCTATACTTGGGAATGAACTAATTAGTTGACTTGCATGAATGTATTTATGAATGAAGATTTTTGCCTTTACCATTTCTAGTATTGTATTGTGTTTTGATTAAATCCCACCTCCCCCTCTGGCCCTGTTGTCTCTGTTGAGAATGTCGCTGTAGATTCAACACACATCCTCAGACTGAAAGCAGAGCTTCGTCCGAATACGCCGAGCCGCTCGCCTCCTCCAGCACACGACTTCTCGTCTCACAATGAATGCTGCTTTTCTTCATTACTCTGGAAACCTCGATTTTGTGTTGTTAGTTGTCGCATCTTGGATTATAACAAGCAATCAATAGAAGTCACATTTTTGGCAAGTTGATGACATCGACGACCGTGACAGATGTTTGAACCACACGGAGGATCCTGTTCATGTTCAGGGTCACAGTTGGGGTCACAGACGAAAGAGCGCAGGTCACAGAGGAGGCCTCAGCGAGCCTTCGAGAGCGCTGGGCGGGAAAAAATCAACAGGTACTTACAAAAAATATGTCCTTTATTCTTTTGGCTTTGAAATGACGTTCACTAAAACACTACAAGCGCAATGAGAGATGGCTACTGGTTGCTTCATGGTTTATCTACATGAGGGGACCAGACACGTGTTTGTAATGTGTTACAGTACAAAAGGAATAAAAAATTGAAAATCAAATCCGAAGACATAAAAATGTTAAATGTTATTCATGATCGGTCACAAAAACGCAAGCTCACATTGAGAAACAGACACATAGATTCTCCCTTACACACACACACACACACACACACAGACACACATGTCCACACACACGTGTACAAATTGTGACATAGAAGCAGGATAAAAAGTGCTCTTACATTAAAAAGTAAGTGTGATGCATACTGTGGTCTCAAATAGCTGGATTATGTAGAAACCAGTAGATTAAAACCACTCGCTTCTCAATTTACGACGACACAAAGGCCGTTCCACCGCGCGCTTCATTGGTAAGCGTGAGAGATACACAGATTTTCTTTATGATTCAGGACTCTCCTTCACAACAGCTCTGGGAGGATAGTGGGCGAATGCTTTGGAGGAGGCACGTTAGATTCGAGCGGCTGGAGAGGTGGTGCATTGGGATGAGACTTGGGTCACTAAATTAGCTATAAGTTAGCTAACAGCGAGGTTTAGCGTGTTGGCGAGGACGTCAGCTAGCCTGGCTCGCTCCAGCTAGCCTTTAAGGAAAAAAATATAAACGTGTTTGTGAGTCTGTTTGACCCCGTTGACTTATTTAACTGTAGTTTAAGTACGTAACTTACCAGCAATTTGAAAGTACATAACAAATAAGAGTTATTTAACCTCGAGATCCGTTGTTATTCAACCCCAACCGCTTCTTCTTTTTGTGTAATAAACCTACGTTGGACGTGTATTCTGACAGGAGACCGTGTCCATGTAATGGATGTAAAAGACGTAACGAGCGGACCGAAGCTCGGTTTAGTGATGTCATCACTTATTTAGCGCGAGGTAACGAGGGGCTTTTCATTCAAAGACAAAAAGCCAATAACTTGAATTAAGAAGCAAAAGAGGAATGAGTTTTTACTTTAAATGTCACATTAATTAAGAGACGACCAATTGTTGCTATAAAATGCTTTAAAAGCTAAGAGATCTTTACAATCTGCATTTAGGTAAATATTTTGCACGTCAAAACTTGATTACAAGGTATTCAACTTTTTTTTTTTTAAACAAGCATGTCCATTAAAAATCCGACGTGACGTATGAGCTTACACTTCATTACATTTCCGCCTGAGCAGCTCCATGTTCCTTCCCCTTCCTCTTCCCCTTCTTCTGCGCTGAATCTTTGGTCCGTGCGCACCTTGTTGTTTTTGGAGAATATCGTCACGTCAACTCCGTGCACGCTCAAAGCTCCAGATACGACTTGTTGATTAGTGAGCCTCGGTGGGGGGGGGTCAGGCTAGCTGTGCCGCTGCTTTCCGTCTTTGCTAGAGGGGCGAGCGCCATGTTTAAAAGAATGATCTTCTCATCTAAAACAGCAACTAAGAACATTCCCCAAAATGTCAACAATTTCATTAAATGTCTCATTCTTTGCATACATTCAGCTTCTCTGTAATCAGAAACTTGTGTTTCCATTGGAATGGGGGGAGGGCGTGTGGGGGGGGGGCAGAAGCACAATACAGAGTTCAACAATTGTTGAGGTTTCCAGCTTTTTTGACTTTGTCTGCCCTTGGTGATTTTACAACAGTGAAAGCAGTGGACACGTTTTCACAAAAAACACACAAAAAAAGTATAAAACATTCTTTCTCGTAAAAAAAAAAGAAAAAGAAAAGAAACCGGAAAAAACAAGCAAAAAAAAAACCGTGAATAAAAACGCAGAGTACTTGTTTAGTGATACAGCGATTGTTAAATTCAAGACACTGGATTTATATTAGTAGCAGCAGCAGCACTAGCTACAGACGACTTAATGATACACTCAAGTGTGTCAGTAACAACAACCAAGAGGAAAATCACAAGCGCATTGTGCAGAGAGGCTCACCTCCGGCAGTGTTTTGTCTCTGAGAAGACCCCCACGTATTCACACAGGACAAAAGCACGCTCGCGCGTCACGCCCACCTGACGTGGCGCTCTTCAAAAGCCAGGCGTACATCTACACACCCCCTTCAGAAGCTGTAAACAAGTTTCCCCTCGCGTCTCTGATGCAATATTTGATTTTTTTTTTTTTTTGTACCTATGTTGTTTAAAAGTCTTATTTCTTTCTGTCTCTACCTTTGTTTTCTTTTTCCCTGTTTTCCTTCTCGTATTTGTCATTGTACGATTTTGTCACGCTGTTGTAGGACGGCGGCGAGGCCGTCGAGGGTGTCATGTCCGTTTTCTCAGAGGTGGAGTTTTCGGGGAACTTTCCGATGACCATCACGTCCTTGTCGGGGTCGTGGATGCCCTCCTTCAGCCGCTCCTTGTAGAGGGCGGAGGCCTTCTTCATGGCCAGGCGGATCTTGTAGCGCCGGAAGGCTCGCTGGATAATCACGGCCGCCATGTCCTCCTGTTTGCGCCGCAGGGTGGTGGTGATGGGCTCGTAGGACACCTTCGACGGGTTAGAGGCCATGAAGCGGTCCTCCATTTGCCCGCGCAGCACGTCCATCTCGCCGCTCTCGCCGAGCACCCGCTTGGTGAAGGCAAACAGGATGTCGAGGCAGTGGATGCGCTCGCCGCTCACCATCGGCAGGTCCATGGAGATCAGGTGGAGCATGTTGGGCTTGGCCATGCGCAGCGGCGGGTCCAGGGCGTCGGCAAAGTCAGAGAGCTTGCTATACTCCATGAACTGCGTGGCGTCGGGGTCGAAGCGTTCCCACACCTCGTAGAACATCTCAAAGTCGTCCTCACTCAGCGGCTCGGCGCTCTCCTCCGTGGCCACGCTGAAGTTCTCCAGGATGACGGCGATATACATGTTGACCACGATCAAGAAGCAGATGATGATGTAGCTGACGAAGAAGAAGATGGCAACCGAAGGGTTGCCGCAGTTGCCCGTGTGGTTGTTGCCCGGGTGCTCCATCTGGCTGTCGCAGTCGGGCTCCCTCTTGTTGAGGATGGGAGCCATCAGTCCGTCCCACCCGCCCGACGTGGTGATCTGGAACAGGCAGATCATGCTGTTCCCGAACGTCTCGAAGTTGAACATGTCGTCGATGCCCGCCTCGTGCTTGACGTAGGCAAAGTTGGACATGCCGAAGATGGCGTAGATGAACATGACGAGGAAGAGGAGCAGGCCAATGTTGAACAGAGCGGGCAGTGACATCATCAGGGCGAAGAGGAGCGTTCGGATACCCTTGGCCCCTTTGATGAGTCGGAGGATGCGGCCTATCCGGGCCAGACGGATCACTCGGAACAGCGTCGGGGACACAAAGTACTTTTCGATCACTTCGGATAAAAACATGCCTGCGAAGGAAAAACAAGTAAAAAGATGAAACCCTGCAGACCCATTTACAGATAATCCAGTGCAGAAAACCTAAGCACCCAAAGCATCTCCTCACCTACGATGGACAGGATCACCACCACAAAGTCAAATATGTTCCAGCCGATGGTGAAGTAATAGTGACGCAAGGAGATCATCTTGAGCATGCACTCCCCAGTGAAGAGCACGATGAAGACCAGGTTGATCCGGTAGAGGGTGTTGTCCATTTCCTTCGTCTGGTCGTCCGTCTCCACCATCATGGTCACCATGTTGAGGCAGATGAGGACCATGATCACGATGTCGAAGGCCTGCTTTGTGATGCAGTCGAACACGCAGCCTTGGAATGCATTCTGAGAGGACACGGGGGACGAAGACAGGAGTCATTGCACACCTGCGGCTGTTGTCCTTCATTAAATAGAAAAACACGGAGACTTACCGCCGGCCGAGGAATCGGTTTCTGTGGTTTCTTGGAGCCCAGCTTCTTCATGGCGTTGTAGTATTTCTTTTGCTCTTCTGTCATGAAGATGTCCTGACCTCCAAAGTAAAAAGGGAGAGAACAAAAGAACTTGGTTACAACCACATCCAGGAAAGTCACCGTACGTTTGCATGAACAACAGAGCAGCCGTGTGCCGAGCAAATATCAGATATGGTATCAAAGTATTAAAGGACAGGTGCTTGGGTCTGTGATAGACAAAGGAAAGGGTGTCCTTTTGAACAATAGAACATTTATTCACATACAGTTTGTTCAATTCACTGGATCTAGGCTCTCTGGCTTTAGGGGATTTCCAAGTTAATGGATCAATCAACTGAGAACAAATTGTTAGTTGTCCAGGGTTCATTTTGTGAACATATCAACAAGGAATATTCCATGTATGTAGTTTAAAAAAAAGAAAGCCTTTTTCTAGTAAGGTGTCTTGTGCTGCCACGTCACAGCACGGTGAGCAGTCAGGAGAAGTCAAAGTTAGACCAAAGTTGATATAATGGTGGGGGAAATACTGGAGAACATTTTATGTTGAACCCCAATAATGAGGTTGTTAAGATAATCAAGAGCAAGCCGTCATTCTTTGCAACTCCCATCAACAGAGGCAACGTCTTTTCAGGAAATGAGAAGAAGTTGTGTTGTTAAAAAAAGCTATCACAAGACTTTAGAGCCTCCTCTGGATTCAAATTGTCAAACAAATGACCTCCTGATGTACAAACCTTCTAACCACTATTCCTTGAAATCTGCAGAAAACGTCAATGGTGTTGATCGCTATTTCTGGTGAATGATACGTCACTATTTAAACATTGCCGCTGCATGGTATCGTGGGACGGAAACCTTTCCTTTTGTAAAGGACAATTTGAATCCGGCCCAGATGTGTTTTGTATGGTCCACTTGGCTGGTGGGATGGCAACAAAAGACATAAGGAGTAAATAAACCTGTTGGATTTTGTTGTAAACTCGTCTGAATAAAATACCCCCAGTGGTTGCAAACTCCAAGGTCGGCATCTGTGGTTTCTGCCATAACACTGACCAGGTAACAAACAACCAAACATTGTATTACTTATTAGTTTTTAACAACTAAATAAGAAGGGATTTTATTGTGTGAATTGTGCATTTGAATGGGACTGAAATGTGCTATTATTCTTCAATAAAACATCAACGACAACAGGAGGTTGAATAAGTGACCCTGCACTAAATAAAGACCACACAAAAATAGATACAAAATGAACAAGTGATTACTACCAAGAGCCACATGTCCGACCTCATCTCGGGAGAAGGCAGAGCTCCTTGTGAGGAAGCCAGACGCAGGCCAGAGGCGTTCCGGAGGAGCCGCCAGTGCTGTTTATGGAGCTTTTGAAGCTTTATAGTGGGACCGACTTTGTTAACTGGATGTGGTTTATGTTACTTTACCACATCTGTGGATATGGAGGATTTGTTGTCCCTTTGGGTACATTGATTGGTACAAGTGACAGGCTGACGAACGGGCTGATGCCTTTTAGCATGGAGGGAAGAGCTGCCATGATTACTACTATTTGTTTTAAATATATGTATGCAAAAACAAAACACACTTCTGTAATTCATTTCCAGAATAATCGAAATCGTTGTCAGTGTGCTGATTAACCAAAGCAATGAATCCCCCCCGATCTCATGGTGTGTCACAAGAGGCACGCATCACACTCTCCACACTCTGCTCACTGAGCGTGTGACGCCCGTCTGGAGGGCTGGACTGGTGTCGACCATCTGCGTGACGCCGCGAGCTGAACACATCGACTGATACTCAAGTTGGGTGCGTCAACTCGGGCCCGCCGGCGTGCGGCAGCCATAGTGCCCCCCCTCCGCCCCCCTCCTCCTTCTCAGGCGTTGCCAATCGCAGTTGCCAGTGCTTTCCTCGAATGGATGGCATTAGCTGCATTAAGGCATCCAGGCTGCATTAACTGTGACTCTGCATATCTGTGTGTGTGTGTATATTGTGGATTCACAAGGGGACAGGTGGATGAAAGCTGCCCCACCCCAGAATGGCCGCCGGTCCACACACTACAGCCCCCAGAATGCCTCACTGCACACCCAGCTGTAGGCGGATAATAACAACGTTCAACTTATCTTCTTCTTCTGCTGGTTGAAGTTGTCGATGATGACGCCGATGAACAGGTTGAGGGTGAAGAAGGAGCCGAAGATAATAAAGATGACAAAGTAGAGGTACATGTACAAGTTCACTTCGTATTCGGGCTGATCCTCCACCTGGATTAGAGCGAGATTACACACGTTACCGGCGGTCATTGCTCTGGCTACGCGTCGCCTCTGTACGTACGGAGACTTACGTCTCGAGAGTCCACCGCTGCGTACATGATGTCCATCCAGCCCTTAAAGGTTGCCTGAAGACGGATGAGAGAGTCAGTTTGGATGGATCATCTCACTCATCCTCAGCTCTGGAGCACTGAGGGATTTCCCTTTGCTTCCTGGTTATACACTTTATCACTAACTCAACTTCAGCTCTTTTACTAAGGTTGGGTATCACTACACTGTTCCCTAATCCGTTTATTATTTAGCTATTTCTTATTTAATTGTCAACATATTGGCATTTCTGATTTTGTACAGCTGACTTGGACATTTTTTCAGTCAATGAATGAAATTCCCATTTTTAAATGCTATACAGAGCCTACAATGCAAGTGTTAAATTGCTACATTTAATGCGATTGCGTGATATTTTAGCATGCAAGTAATTCCCAGGGGCATGTTCCTATACAAATAATGCATACACCCATTATTCCTTCTTCCAGGAAGCTTTTTTTCACCTTGTTTAAAGTTGTTGCACTATTCATAACGGGGTTCTGAGACACCACCCTCCCCACACCTATGTTTGATCATTTCCTTCTGGCGAGAAGGTGCCATCAAAGTGCGTCACAAACCTCCGAGCCGCAGGGTTCCCTACTAAACACGCGTGCATTCCGTGACCCACCACTTGCAGCAGAGCCAGGTATCCGGCCCCCACGTTGTCAAAGTTGATCTTGACGTTCTTCCAGCGCGCGCTGTCGTTGGCCAGCTTCAGACAGTCGGTCTTGTTGTTGACCACGTCGAGCGGGAAGACCAAATCCGTGGTGGTGTTGACGCAGTAGTAGTACTTCCCCGCGAACAGGTTGACGCCCATGATGCTGAAGATGAGCCAGAAGATGAGGCAGACCAGCAGCACGTTCATGATGGAGGGGATGGCCCCCAGCAGCGCGTTGACCACGACCTGGAGAGGTCCAAGCACACGGACGAACTCAGCACTGTCCACTCGCCAGAAATACAAAGGGCTGTTGGATATGCGACAGGGCGCCACGACAGTCATCTAATCGCTTCACTGTTCTTTAACAAGACGTGGACGCTTGATTGGATTGGGCCGTAGCGCTAATGCTACGCCCTTCAGAAACAACAGCACAAGACTGATTTAGAAAACTATATTACTCAAAGCTGCACACGTAAAGCTACGGAGAGAATTTAAACAGCGTGCGAAGAAGAAGGTGGATAGGTGAAAGAGTTAACATTTTATAGGTAAAAAAAGCAAAACAGAAAAAAACCTTAGAGAGGCGGGATGAAGTCACAACATTTTGTTTGACTGTAAATGAAAAAAGACACACAACAAAGAAAAGAATTACAGGTCAAAGGCACCACACAAGCAACACAGTCAGAACAGCGATATATAGTCATCCGTTGACACAATGTGAAGAAAGTCATGCGGAGAGAAGAAGCACAATGGTGAATTGCAAGGAACAGAGAGCTCTGCAGAAGCTGTCACAAGCGTGCAGATATACATTCAGGCCCAGTTAGACGCTGAAGCCATCTAACACCCACCAATAGCTCTACAAATGGAAACATGAATTGTACTGTAGCATTTTCCTACTACTGCTACGGACACGCGTACAAAAACATTGACCACAGATTGACCACAACCACTCAGAATTTAGCCGGCGCCCGCGTTGTTGTTGTTGTTATTCCAAGATGTCCTCACCCTCATGCCCTCAAACCGAGACAGGGCCCTCAGGGGCCGGAGGGCTCGCAGTGTCCTCAGCGACTTGATAGCCGTTAGCTCAGAGTAGCCCAGCGCGTTCGCCACGAGGCTCACCAGGGACACCTAGGAAACGAGCGCGACGGAGACAGGCAGGGCGAAAGGTGAGGAGTAAAACAAGGTTCCTCTGCCTGGTGAAGGCCTGAGAGTTCGTCAGGCAATAATGATTCACGAGTCGGCACACAATTAAAGGCGTAATAAAGAATTTAAAGTCGTTAAAAATGAATGACAGAAGTAGCCCGGATATCTGAATTTTAATGACGTGCGCACACGCTCACTTATTTATATCATGAAAGGATTTGTTGAACATTTTGGGAAATAGTCCTGTTTGCTTTCTTGTAAGATAAGAGGACACTCCTTAGCCTGGAGGCTGTTAGCTTAGCATAAAGACTAGAAACTGAACGGTTCAGTCGGACACAAGAGTCGGATAAGTGAAACATTCATTCAAAAAGCCAAACTTGAGACCTTAAAAACCGTGGGCGACAAACCAATGGGTGGCTTCACTGCGGCTACGTCCACTTCTAATATGTAGTCTATGCTCAAGTCGACACTACAGCCTCTGAAGCTCACCGGTTAACACTAACCTTTCCCCAAAATAGTGCTAAGCTAATAGCATCCTTGCTCCATCTACATAATTAGCATTCAAATATGGTTAGTTTGTTACAAGAAAGCATGTATGTAATTTCCCAAAATGTCAAACTTTGCAATCATCTTTGAAAGCGTTATTTGGATGTGTTCTCGCTATATACATACGTCCACAATGAGGAAGTCCAGCCAGCACCAGGCGTTGGTGAAATACTTGACGAAGCCGTACGCCACCCACTTCAGCAGCATTTCCAGGATGAAGATGTAAGTGAAAACCTTGTCCGCGTACTCCAGCACGATTTTGATGGTCTTCCGCTGCTCGATGTAAATGTCCTCGAACGCCTGTGCAGAAGGGAACAAACGGCGGGTTATGTGTGGCCTTTACCATTACATGCATCTCACACCTGCTGCTCAAGCCTAAGAGATAATTCAATTCATTTTATTTTGCATCGTCCAAAATTTGATATTACAAATTGGAAATTACAGTCTGTACACATGCGACGCCCCCTCATGCGAAACCCTCACATTGGAACAGGAAAAAGCCCAAAATGAAAAACCCTTCGATGGTGAGAAACGAGGGAAGAAACCTCAGGCGTCAGAGGAGGGATCGATCTCCCGGGATGGACAGACTACAGCGGATGTCATGTGTACAGAATGAACAACGCAAAAGATGTACAATACATTCAATTCCACGGCTCATACCGAACCACTTAATGGCGCAAGCAATGTTTTAGATCAAAAAACACAGGGGGGTAAAGCCACTTACCAGCGCCCCGCTGCTTAGCAGGATCATGAATATGATGAAGGATTCAAACCAGTTGTGCTCCACGATGATGAAGCAGGTTTTCCTGAGTGTCCACCAGCGCTTAAAATGCTCTTCCTCCTCATCGATCTGGCAGCACTGGAACCTGATCACGCAGCCTGCACACAGGGGGGAGAGGGGGGGAGACAACCAATGATTAAAACTGAAACAACGTCTCTCCCTCAGTCACCTTTCATTACTTCGTTGACTATTTTCAATTCAAATCCATCAATCACCAATGATCGAAATCTGGCTAAATGAGTGCAATCAAAATGCTGCTTTGCTGCCAATACACCCGATAAATAAACATCATGTAGCGCTCTGTGCCGCTGACTGATGAAAGGCTGAGGACGTACTCTCAGACTCAGGGCTCCACTGGGGGATCGTCAGAATAAATGTCAGGTTACATTACAAGCCGAGCCGATCCCACCGACCACTTCTCTTTCTGTCCTGCTGAGCATTTGTGTTCACTGCCACTCAGCGGTGAGCGTGCACATGCACATTCCACGAGCACCTTCTCCGCTCTGCACCCTCCCCTCCTTCCCCCCCTCCTCCCACCTCATCATCCCACCCTGCCTATCACCCTAGCGTCCCTCTCACCCTCCGTGAAGCAGGCCTCTGGTTCCAGCGATTCCTCCGGCTCCAGCTCCACCGAGTCCACCCCGTCCCCCGGGGGGCGGATGTCCACCGTGCTCCCCTCCGATGAGCTCAGCCGCTGGGGCTCTACATCGAGCTTCTGCGCGGCCCGAGGGAGAAGGCGGGGGGGAGGGGGGGTGAGAGGGACAGCGTTAGAGCGAGGGCCCCCGCGGAGGTTCACCGGTCTTAGGAGGCAACCATCTGAGCTGGTTACCGTGGCGATTATCCTGCTCACATGTACTCCAGTGCCACAGCTACAAACACCTTGGTGTGGAGACCAGGCACTGTGGTAGCTGGGCTCATAAAAGCCATTGTTTCATCATCATCATCATCACATGCAGCATTGATCAAATGTACCTACAGGCTTTGAAAATGAGTTTTATCTGATGGCTCAAATCAGATCATGTGGCAACACATGGCATGTGCAGGTGGGGGGGGTAGGGATATGCACTGTGGGTACGTTTGATGTGACCTCCATACGAGGAAGAGTGCATGCAGTATTCCAGTGCATTATCAATCCAAGCCTGAAATAGTACCAAGCAGAACGTGTGCTGAAGTATTTTCATGTCCTCTGAAAAATGACTCCACAACCATCTGTCTACCGCTTAAAAGGCCCGTTTCCAAAATTTGCTCCTGCAAATAATAATAATAATAATAATAATTCCTCACCCACAAAGCTAGAATGCTCCCACAGGAAGACGGCCGAACATTTTTCCGAGCGACATGAAAACACGTTATTTCCATTCCTTGAAAGCAGTGTACGAGCTTCTTCTGTGTTGAAGTAGACGGACGACCACATTAGCTTACCAGCAAAAACCAGCACTGTGCACTGTTTATAAGACAGCATGTGGACGCTCTCTTTTCGTGTGTTCCCATTTATAAAACGTGTTGAATTAGCACCCACGAAGCACCCAGAACACATATTAGGGCCGTGTCTGCTACTCGACGGTGTCTGTCCCTCCTCCTCAGCAATGTGCAACCCAAGTGTTGCTGCTGCTGCCGCCGCCGGGGTCTCGTCTGACCCCGGTAACGCTCCACCGGAACCCCCTCCCAACGCGGTGATCTTTTGCGTTAATGAACATCACGACATCGTCTGCAGGTGGGGAGACTTTTTGGTGTCGCGAGGCCTGCTGCCTGGCGTGTGGAGTACAAGAACATGTCATCGTAGACAGTGCAGCAGCTCTGATTGCCGTGGGACCCAGCTAATACGGTGTGTGTGTGTGGAGGGGGGGGATGGAAGCATGCTGCTCACAAGGGGGGGCTGTCTCCCTTCCGGTGTCTCTTTCTCTCCTTCAGCAGAGAGACACATTCTAGCTCTTTTCCGGGTGCGGATTACGTGGGACGCGAGTCCGAGCCCTGACGTTGCCTTTTGTTTGGCAGGTTTTAGCGCGTTCGTCGAGTGGAACGAAGGTGAATAAACACAAACACGGGAGCACACAGAACGGGGATCACTAATGACATGTTTACATGCACCATCTCGCGTTTCCATTCACGTACTTTAAATCACACAAGTGATGAGTTCTTTCCCCTTTATATGAATAGCTTTTGTCTCCAGGCGGCATTAAACACTGGCTGACATGAAAGGACAATTCAAACCTCCTAAACACCATCTCTGCATGTCTCCCTTATAGAAGGGTTACTCATGATCAGATGGCCGAGGCGACGTTTTCTTCAAGGTCGTTTAATCGCTCCGAAACGGATGAAAACCCACCTAATTCGCATTTCTCCCTTTGCAAAATTTCAAAAGTTTGCTTAAAATTCGCAAGAGGATGAAACGGCAAGAAACGGCTTCTGGTAGCATTGTTTCTTTGATCTCTAATCTACGCCGAATAAATGATTTGTTGTGAGTATAAACTGCCACGTGTTATCTGCTTTGCCACCCGGCAAAAATCTGCGATGATTCATCCGCGTTTAAAAATGATCTCCTTGGGAAATATTGCGAATCGTTCATTATTCCACTAAATCACAGAAAACAGAAAGTATTCCATGTGTGTATGTGTGCTCGCGCTATGAACCACGCCAATGAATTTTGCCGAACAAACGGCAAAATTCCGTTCATCTCTTTCTTTCCTCCTCCCTCTCCTCCAAAACCAAGTCGAAACCAAGCAATGGAACCACAAGCAGAGATCATGTTCGATGAGTTGCTCTATCGATGGGAGAAGGTGGCGTTGGTCATTCCTGGTGGTTTGTAACTGCAGCCTGATGCTTGAGATAAATAATGATTGGGGGGGGGGGGTTAAGGGACAAAGATTACAGCACTGCATGTGTTGCTGTATGGAGTAGGGTGTAAAACAAAGAAGGAAGGGTTGGGGAGAAAGAGGGGGGGGGGGCGGAGGGCAGACCAGGCAGAGAACGAAGATGGGCAATCCATTGAAGGTATGAGAAAATGTGTTGTTTGTCTGCAAATGGCATAGGCAGTCCTCATGGTTAGTGCTATGGTACCATAAAGTGGTCTTACAATTGTCCTCTGACTGACAACCTTGAGAGCGTTTGTGACACAGCTGCAATAACAAACGGGGGGGGGGGGGGGGGGGGGAGGTTAAACACAGTAAGTCAAAGACACCAGAAAGCCAGCACACAAGCTCAAAGTGGGCCCCCACAGGGCCCCCACGGGGCCCCCACAGGGCACAGTGGGAGCACAACAATTCTCCTGAAAGCATCTTCCTTGAGAGATGCCGTTTTATACACTCACATCGACAGGGCCACTGTGCATTGTGTCGTGCGTACATTAATATTTACTATTAGGGATACAGCAATGGTTTTCTGCAGATTCCAGATTGTTTTCTTGCTTTTTAAATAATCGTATGTAATATTATCTGGAAACTAGATTTGACAACATTATAATTGAAATTATCAAGATCGCGCCATAATTGAATCATTTTTTTGTTGTTATGCTGCTGAATTGGCACATGTATTTATTGTGACAATAAAGGATACTTAAGGCTTATTGGCCCGATCAGCAAATAATCGGCCTATAAGCCGACAAGCCGGGTGGTTTTGGGCCTGTTTTCTGATTTGATCAAACTCCATGACCGATTAAAGAATAATTGATCTAGTGCTCGATTGTCCCAGTTCAGAACTCCCATGTCAAGCGATGTGGAGCTCAGCAGGGAGTCAGGCTGCCCTCTCTTAGTCAACTAATCGGCTGTGTGGGCATTAGTCCATTTTAGTCGCGAGGGGGTGGCACCAAAGCCACCGATCACAGCCTCAGTGGTCGACGCTGAACAGCGATCCTCCCACTGCATTTTATTATTTTTTTTCTTAGAAAATAGCGTGAAGCGGTTGACAAAGTAGTCCCTCTAGCAGGTGATAATAGCGGATGTGCGTTGGCTGCCCGCGTGACACCGATGAACCGGCTACGTTCATCAGTGTCATTATTCATATTTGAGATATTATTTGTCACGGCTCTTGGAGAAGATTCCCTCTGCAGCACAGCATGAACTGAGCCTGTACAAATGAGTCAGCAGGGATGTTATTTTCAAACCCCCCCCCCCCCCCCGACTGCTGGAAACCGTTCCAAAAAAGAGCCTCTCTATGCAGATCTTGACATTTAAGCACCGACGGTGTTCAGCTATCGCGCATGTGAAATAGGAGCTCTTCAGGTACGAAAGCCGCGTGACTCAACGACATTTTCCCGACGCACCGACAAAGACGTCCCCCCCCCCGTCCTACCTCTATGCTGCCCTCCACGTCCGACGAGTCGCTGCTGAATTCTTCGGTGTTGGGGTTCTCGAAGTCCGACTCGCCCACCGCGATGGGCACCGTGACCGTCAGGCTGGGGTTGTGGATGAACGACATGTAGTCGCACTCGTCGTCCGGGGACTTCTCCGCCGAGTCGCCGCCGAGCCCGACCGCCAGCCCTCCTCCCGGGCGCCCGTTGCCCTCCGTCATGTACACCGCGCTGGGGTCTTTGGTGATCTCCACCGACGTGTGGTTGGAGATGCAGTTGCCCTTGCCGTTGCTGTGCAGCTCCTCCAGCGTTTTGCTCTCCTCCGCCAGGCCGCAGCCCTTCCCAACGCCGCCGCCAAAGCAGAGGCTCTGCACGAACTGCCGGACGGCGGATTTGAGGAACGCGACGCCCCGCTGGATCCGGCCCACGGCGATCTGTAGGTTGTTCATCTCGCTGTCCTCGTCGGTCGCCGCCAGGTTGTCGGCGCTGAATGAGCTCAGGAGGAGAGCCAGGAAGAGGTTTAAAACCTGGGGGTGAAAGTGAATCACACTCAGCTTTCACTAAAAGCAAACCATTAGCATACATTACACAAAAGGAAATAAAGAAGAATGGCCCCATACCACCAGGTTTCCAATGACCATGACCATCATGAAGACTATCAGGCACATCGTCTGCCCGGCCACCTCCATGCAGTCCCACATGGTCTCGATCCACTCGCCGCACAGCACCCGGAACACGATGAGGAAGGAGTGGAAGAAGTCGTGCATGTGCCAGCGGGGCAGCTGGCAGTCCTCGGAAATCTTACACACGCACTCCTTGTAGCTCTTGCCGAACAGCTGCATGCCGACCACGGCGAAGATGAAGACGATGATGGCCAGCACCAGCGTCAGGTTCCCCAGGGCCCCCACCGAGTTCCCGATGATCTTGATCAGCATGTTCAGAGTGGGCCATGACTTGGCCAGCTTGAAGACCCTCAGCTATGAAAAGTTCACATTTACGCTCAATAGATGAATACACTCGTATATCATTTGGCAAAATCGCAAGCTCATCAAATCTTATTATCCGCTTGTCAATGGGAACGAGCTCACTGGCTGTGTCCTCAAAGAGCCGAGTAGCTCAGCAACAAACCTGGAAAACTAATTGGGGGAACAGACAAAAAGAAAGAAGAAAAAAAACACATTGTCCCCCAAAGGCCACAACAACCCTCGGTGGGACCTTTTATGTGCTGCACAAAAAGCTCTCGCCACATCATTACCGGTTTAATAGCACGTCTGTTATTGCCAGAGCCACCCTGGAAGTACAGGTGCCTCTTATCTTGTATTTACGAAATCGCCTGATGCAGCTTTTGCCACGACGCATCACTCTCACCAGTCTGAAGGAGCGCAGGACGGACAGGCCCTCCACGTTGGCTAAGCCGAGCTCCATCAGGCTCAGGCTGACGATGATGCCGTCAAAAATGTTCCAGCCCTGCTGGAAGTAGTAGTAGGGATCCAGGGCGATGACCTTGAGGCACATCTCTGCCGTGAAGATGCCTGTGAACACCTGATGACCAAAGAGAGGGGTATTAGAGTTCCACGTGGGGTTTGTTGTGTTGTGTTCCGCGGCGCACGCTACTTGCCAGGTTTCCCACTGAGAGGACGCTGTCGAATTCTTTAGTCATGGGGTAGTGCTCCATGGCCATGAACAGGGTGTTGAGCACAATGCATATTGTGATGGCCAGGTCCACGAAGGGGTCCATGACCACCGTTTTGACGATGTCCTTGATTTTCAGCCACGCGGGGAAGCAGTCCCAGATCAGGCAGGTGTTGGCAAACCGGTACCAGCAAGGGGGGCATTTCTGTCTGGACTCTTCCAGCTCTGGAAAAACGAGAGACGAATATGTTCAATAATAAAATCCATACCGGCTCTCCCCGTAATTTGCAGAGGAACCAGGAGGTCAAGGCACAAAAACACACAGAGAAAGAACGATGCCACAGATCCACGGCCTGATCCTCACCTTCCATGGTGTTGGTGCGGATACTGGCCACGCTCATGGCTCTCTGCCGGGCCACCGGTTCATCCAAATAATCCATGGAAGGCTTGCGAAAACCTGGCCGCCGCTTCTTGAGCTCAGTATCTGTAGTTGTACCCTGAAAACCCCCCAAAGAAAAACAGATTTGTGCCGAAAAGTCAATCAAACTGAAAGCCGGTCGATTAGAAACCGAGGCATGAGACAAGCGGTCGCGTCACCTCGGTCAGCCGGAGACCTCCGGGGGAGGTGGTTACGGACGTCCCCCCGACCAGGGACACCACGCCGTTGCAGTCCACGGCGCAGTGCATCTTGCCGTTGGCGGGCAGGACGATGCGCGGCGCCCCGAGGCTGGTCTGGCTGACGGCGCTGCAGCGGCGCTCGAGGCGCCGCGGCAGGAACAGGGAGCCCCGGCGGCTGTCGCCCTCCTCGAAGGTGCTGTGCTCGTCGTCGGCGAAGTCGTTCTCCGAGCCCATGTCGCGGGCGCGGCCGTGGAAGCTGAAGAGGCTGGCGCGGCTGTTCCGCCGCGGCGAGAAGAGAGATCCGCGGACGCTGAGGAGAGACTGATGGAGCGGAGAGAGCTTAGCTTAGCATAAAGACCTGAAGCGAGGCGCTCTGAAGAACACTGCTGCTGAATTAAGGGCCGTCTGGACCAACTGGAACAACAGGCATTTGTTTTTTGGGCCATATTGTCCCATTACTTTGGCTGAGGAGGGTTTTCTCAGCGGAGGAGAAACTCACTGACTTTAAAACTTGGTATTTAGCAGACAACATTGTGTTTTGGTGACCGGGAAACACGGCGTGTGTTCACCTGGTTGGGCGAGGAGCATCTCTTCTCGTACGAGAGCCTGTTGGCGTCGATGGAGAAGCGGAAGCTGCTCCTCTTGATGCTGTCCTCCGACTCGGACTTGTGGAACTTGTCGCGGCCGCCCCTCCCCTCCTCTTCCTCTCTCTGCCTCCTCTTCTTCCGCCTGTTGCGTCGCTCCTTGGCACTCTTGGAGCTGAGCTTCGACATCCCCGAGGACGACTCGGAGGTGGGGGCGCCCCTCCCGCTGTACTCGCCGCTCTCCGTGGCTGCTGCCGCGGCAACCTGCCGGCCAATCAGAGCACAAACACAGTTGTCATGGCGACCCGGCGCCTGTCTCAAAGGCTCTCGCAGGAGGAGAGAGAGCCTGGCAGCCGAGAGCAGCGGCAGCATGCGGAGCCGAATGAGACTCAGACACCTTCTAAAAATGGAAGCCGGAATGTTTTTAGTGCAAAAACAAAAATGTCCATTTTGGATAATCCCAGTCAAAGACAAAAATGATGTGGACGCGGAGGTTATATGTCAGGCATACAAGGAATTTGACATTGCGGTTGGTGCATTGGACAGTAAGACAATGGACAACAAGACACAGTGCAGGAAGAATGTCATGTTCAATTTACCATTTAAATACATGAAATGCTTTTAGGAGGCCAGGTTGGGAGATGTCGGGTTTTTTTCAGGTCGTACCTCATTTAGTCTATTTTTAGCGTGTCCTTTCAGTTGTTCATCCGTCCATTCAGCTGTGTGCAACACGTGTAGCCGGACAGGAATAGACTGCACGCCTGGCTTCGCCGTCACTAGCTTCTGAAATAACCGCTCATCTTTATTCCCGTTATCCCGCCGTTTCACCTTTGAACTCGGGCCCTCAGTTTGCAGACGCAGCGTTACCAGCGTCACGGCCAACGCCCATAAGGTGCTCGCCGTGATACTCACGGCTTTTAACGTCGTATTTACAAGACCTGCAGCTCATCGGCGCCTTTCTCTGCCATTCCACCAGCAGGCGTACATACGCCGCGAAACAAACACGCCTGAAGTAGGCGCGAAAGCGTTAGTACATGAGGCCCTCGGCGTCCAGCTGCTAATTGTTCCCCGTGAAGGTCGACCAAGCACTCCCGACCCCCAGGCTGGAGCAGCGGAGGGGTGTCAGTCATCCTGGACCGTGAATCCCCCTCGGCCGGGGCAATGCTGCTTTTATGGCAGCTGGGCCCCAAAGAATAAATCAACCCAATCGAGAGACGCGTTAGAGATGACCGCCCTACCTGCGCCTCCTCCTGCTGCCTCTTCAGCTGCTCCAGCATGGCCTGGAACTCCTCCTCCTTCTGCTGAGCCTCCTCGATGGTGGCCTGGTTCTGCTCGTCATACGCCATGGCTACCACGGCCAGGATCAGGTTGACCAGGTAAAAGGAGCCCAGGAAGATCACCAGCACGAAGAAGACCATGTAGGGCTTCCCCGCCGCCCGCAGAGTCTGACGGACACCAGACAAAACATTCGTTCCTTAAATCTACCCGTGAATGAGAGGAAAAGGAAATGAACCTGCAGATTAATAACCGGATTAAAAAGACTCAAACTAAATGTGTTGGTTTGCTCAGGAATGTATTATAAATGAATTATTCATGAATCATACAATAATATATTATACAAACTTCTACGTAGTTCACTGTCAACAGTCTTTATAGACTCTTTGACGCACACAAGCCGGAAAGAACTCAACAATTTACAGCCAAACAGAAACTGAAATGGGAATAAAACTGCTTATGGAAATATATATATATATATTGAGGCAAGAAACGGACAATGCAGGAACAGAATCGTTTGAATTCTTATTCAGAATTCACCAATACAGATTGAGACGCTTCAGCTCTTTTCAATTGTTATGCTAAAATCTCACAAACATATCAGACATTTTTTCATTGCTTTCTGTCATATAATACGAGGAACCCCAAACCTATGGCGAGATGGAGCAGGGACCCCCTATTCTACGGAGTTTGGTCCGCCATCTTTTATTTTTTAACTAGCATAGCATAGCATAAGCATAGCATAAACGCGATCTGATAGGCTGGTCGTGTTTGCATGAAAGGTGCTGTGAGAGAGCTCCTGTGCGTGACTGAAAGATAACGTCTTCTCCATCAATTTATCCGTTCGCTACAATATGTTGGATTCATGTTAATGTGTATTTAAAGACAATCAATACAATTCTGAAGACAAAAAAATTAAAAAATTGTTTGAATTTTTTTTTTTAAGAAAAAAAAATAAAAAAATAGTCTTAATAACCAAAAATATTGCGGTCCCCCCTGCAGTACCTCCGCTGACCCCCTGTTGAAGACCTCTGATATAATAAACAACACAGATAACTGACTCCAGGAAATAATCTGCAGATAATTGTACTCAAAGCCGTGCAATTCGCGTTCCACCCACCTGCTGGTAGAGGTTTTCCCAGTAGTCCTGCGTCATGAGGCGGAACAGGGAGAGGAACGCCCAGCTGAACGTGTCGAAGCTGGTGTAATCGTAGTCCGGGTTGCGGCCGGCTTTGATGCACGTGAAGCCCTCTGGACAGAGCCTGTCGGGACACATGCGGTACGAGGGTTTGGAAGCGTCTGAGGAAAGGGAGTTGCTTACACGCAGCTGCACTTTTTCGCCTTTTTAGGGCAAAAGTAAAAAAAAAAATCCCAAGGCAGGTCTGCACTCAAAAAAAATTCAACTTAAATCAATAAACTTCCCTCAGTCTGAAATGCATCTAAAGGGTCGGGTGAAAAAAAACTGCGGGGAGGCTTTCCCGCGCGGCGAGCCTTTTTCCCAGGAGCGAGCCTCCCGGCGCCCCGGGTGAAAAATATATATTCCCTGAAAGAGAGGGGGGGGGGGGGGGGGGGGGGGGGGTCAGCCAGAGCCACGACACAGGGTTCAAACAGAGGACGTGAGAAAACAAGAGAAGATGGAGGGGGACAGAAAGACAGCCATTGGGTTTCTCTTTGCTTTTTTGGTGTGACGACGAGGTTCTAACACAAACATATTAGTCATGTTTTGGTCTTTGAGTGTGTGTGTGTGTGTGTGTGTCTGTAGGTGTGTGTGTGTGTCACTAAAGCTTCCATCAGTCTCTTTTTAGAGGCAACCGTCACTGATGCAATAAAGGCGCCGGACGTCATAAAACCCCCGAGCGACTTTAATAATCTCTGTTGTCTCTCGCCTATTGGATTCAGCTCGCCGGTCTCCTTCGTCTCCCCCACTGGCACTTAGTGACTCACCCCCTCCTTTGGCGGCTCGTGACACACAGATGGGTTATGGGAGAATGACGAAAGGCAGCGAATGTCAAGTAACTGTTGACTAACTAACTATTTTTTTTCTTCTCTTGTTGTAGCGTTTATCCGCCTCACGTTCTCCCACCAGCCACTGCTGTCGCTCCGTATCGCCGGCCGGCGGGGGCCTGACCTCATTGACCCAGACCCGACCCTGACCGCCCGGGGGGGGGGGGGGGGGGGACCACCGGGGGCCCACTCAACTCTCAACTTAATCCTGTCGTTCATGGACTCCGGCCAGTTGAAGGGGCTCTCCGTGGCGGTGAAGTCCAGCAGGTTCCCGTTGAAGCACGCCGCGTCGCCGCTGCTGTTGTGGGCGTTGGCGGTGAACGGCAGGCGCACGCCTTCTGCCTCAGGTTGCCCATGAAGAGCTGAAGGCCGATGAGGGCGAAGACGCTGAGGCAGAAGACGGTGAGGATCATGACGTCCGACAGCTTCTTCACCGACTGGATCAGCGCACCGACGATGGTCTTCAAACCTGTGTGGGAGGGGGGCGAGGGGGGCGAGGGGGGCACACGGCAGTGTGATAATTACAGCCGGGAGCTCGTGGAGCAAAGGAGCTGCTCATTCCAGCTCACAGTAAGCAAGCAGCCGCTGGGGTTCTGCAGTGGAGGTTCCTGTATGAACGGCTATGCAGGAGCCAGGCTGACACTGGAAACCTCCCCCTTCTGTTACCCCCCCCCCAGAAAAAACTATGTGTTGTGACACTCGTTTCCTTCTGTTTTTGCAGTGCAGTCGCAAAGAGCTGCGCGCAGGATTACGTCCCAGCGCACATGTTGTTTTTGTCCGTATTGACGCGAGGCCGAGTGGGGTGGGGGGGTCTGCGGAGGGGGGGTTCGGGGTTTGTGGCCGGGGACCCTCTCAACTAGTCACGTGGCCGCTTTGGTCAACTCCAAAAAGCTCCTGAGAAAAACAGGCCGCCTGCAGGTGAATCAGCCTGACAGGAATGCAGCTTAGGCCGGTTTCCACTCTCTGCGCTAAGCTAAGCTAACGCGGTGCTGCCACTTCATATTCGGCATTCACAGCCGACGTGTCCGAGCAGGTCGGGTCTCTGGGCGTCCTTTGTCGCCATCATTTACCAAAACCACCACTTGCCCCGCGTTGAAGCGCCTCTTCTGCCGCCTTTGCGACACAAAGTGCTTTTCAATGTCGGAAGAATAGCAACATGCGCTAGCGCCGCTTTGCACTGCCACACAAACCCCCCGGAGTGTGTGTTGCGCTTCCTGCCGAGAGCCGGCGGCAGCTTCTCCTGGATGGTTTACGTATTGCGATGTGAGGAGTGTTGTTCTTTAGAAAAAGCCCAAACCACCGCTCATTAGCTCACAATTTCCCCAAGAAACACACAACATTGAACAGGACATGCACGGGGGGGGGAAAACAAGGTGAGGAGGAACCCTGCGCACACAGGAGCACTTGCCACCAGAAGATCGGCTTTTGCAATGTCTCATGCAAAAATAGGAAAAAGATAACCAAACAAATACTGCACAAAATCTAGTCTCCCAAGGCAAGAAGAGATTTCAACCAAAAGGAATTTCCGCCTTAAAGGATGTATCTAAAAGCTCAGAATCGAGTCAATCTTTGCAGATTGGGTTTCGGATTCCAGCTTTTACCGGCCTTGGGACAAAGGCAGCGTGAGGCACGGCCGTGCGGCGTGCGGCGCCGTCAGGCTTTGGCTACAGTGAGATGAGCTGAGAAGGACGGAGGAGGTGCTTGGATGTTAGCAGACCGCCAGTTAGCCGTTAGCATTTCATCGGCTCTCTCACCTGGGATCACTGATATAGTTTTCAAGGCTCGCAGAACCCTGAAGGTTCGCAGCGCTGAGACATTGCCCAGGTCCACAAACTCTGTGACATATCTGTAAGGGAACGGGGATGGAGGGTTGATGAGGGGTGGGGTTTGAGGGGCGAGGGGGGGGGGAGGGTTATTTCGGGAAAAAGGTTTAGCACCCATAGCCCCCCGTAACAACACAAAAAGGTGGTTTTGTGGGGGGGGGGGGGTGGGGGTGGGGAGGGGAACGGCAAACGGTCACGCACAGAAGACAAGGAGTGCTGGAGGCCGGCACGGAGCAGCCTTACCTGGTATCACTGAGATAGTTTTCAAAGCTCGCAATACTCTGAACGTGCGCAGAGCTGAAACATTGCCTAGGTGTACAAACTCTGTTACATACCTGCAGGATCAAATGCACAGTTACAACACAGCAGGGCAGAAATGCAGCTCTCACATCAGCAGCATGAACGTCTGAGCTAGTAGACATCAGCATGACTGGTCCCCTCCAGGGACAATTATTTTTTGTGTAAATATCTAATTGATTATTAATTAGCTAATTGACCTGCATTTCCAGAACAGATATCAAAAACCGTGGATAAAGCGACTGGAGCCTTTGGTCTATGCAAGTGCTGCTGAAGTGGAGATTTAAGAAGGAGGGAACAAATAAGGGCCAAGACGCTTCATGCTTTAGGGGCTCACATCCATTATGACAGAGTACACTACATATTTGTGGCCTCCGTTTCAAAACTAAGCAACAGATGAGCCGGCCCCCTCTTCCCTCTCTGTCCCTCCACTCCCTCATATTCAGTGGGACTCGTCCGAATACTTACGCCATGAGGATGACACTAAAATCCAGCCAGTTCCAGGGGTCCCGCAGAAAGGTGAACTTCCCAACGCAGAAGCCCCTGGCCAGGATCTTTATGAGGGACTCAAATGTGTAAATCCCTGTGAATGTGTACCTGGTGAGAGATAATCACGCTGGTTAACATCTCTGTGTGTCTGATCTTTATAGTACATCTTGTACGGCAAATAAGCTCCAATTATAAAATGTAAATATCTGTGAGTGCGATGGACTCAGGGAGCAGGTTTCATATATAGCTGCTCTGCGAGGACGTATTTAGGACGCTGTAGGTAAAACAAAGTGAAGCAATGTCCTGAAAAGAAAATACTAATTTCTGTTTTTTTTTACTCATATTATTACTACTATATATACTATATTTGGGCTTGGTGTTGTTTCCTGCGGCAATTTTGAAAAACGCCTGGTTCGTAGCCTGGATAGTGTGAAGAGATGCAAAGGGCACTCAAAGGGCAGATAAATGCATATTTCATGCAACATAACTTGTTTCAAAGAGCGTAATAACAGAATGCACTTACTCTACATTCTTGGCCCATTCCGGGGGGTTACTGAGGGTCATGAAAGCACAGTTGGTCAGGATGGTGAACATGATCAACATGCTGAACATCGTGGAGACAAGAGTCAAGGAGCACAGCGGAGCATTCGTGTTAAGGCATTCATCTTCTGTATGCTATGAACAAAAGCCAGCACTAAAACCTCCCCGTCAATTACAACTAAGAGACGAAAAGACTGATTTATGCCGGCCTGCATAAAAAAACCTAAGGCGCTTGTGACATTTAACGTTCCTCATCACTTAAATCCCTCCTTTGTCCGACCAACCCTTTAATCCAAACCAAGCTGTGTCCGTAGCAAACTCTAAAAGGATATGAGTGTACTAAAACTCTAATAGCTACCCTCCTTAGAGGGTTGAAGGGGCTTAAGATGTACAAGGCAGGAGTGGCGTTGAAACGGAAGATTGCCTTTCCGCGATTCAATACTATGAAGGTCTGAAAGAGAGGCAGAACAAAAAAATAATAAAAACGGGTTAAATTCCGTATCGGAGAAATCCCTCCTTATCGGACATGAGTGAGATTAGCAGCTCTTCAGCCGGCGCATGTTGGCAGATCAACTGACGCAGCGGCTCCGGTCAGCGTTCACCACCTCGGCGGGGCGGCGCTCCCACAGGCCCTCGACTCGAATGAGCATGAATCTGGCCTGCTGCAATACCAGAGTGACAATGAAAATGATCTGATTATGGCCCAAAACATGCTTTGTGAGGTGACCTTTGACCACCAAAGTAAAAAACTGGAGTGCAAGTGGTGTGTATGTCTGAGATACTACGAGAACGGAATGTACGTGAGGTTAAAGTTGACTTTTGACCTCTAAAATCAAATGATTTCATCCTTGTGTCCAGGTGGACACATTTTTGGGGGCGTGGCCTCGGAGGGAGATCGTTCCCAGAAGACTTGATTCAATTTTCAAATTCCACTTGAAAGTAACAGGAATAGGAAGCTACGGTCAGTTAGCTCAGCTTAGCATGAGTGAAAAAACATCCAGAGGTGACAAAAGCTCACTTATGAGCACCGTATTTCACTCAACCTCCCCACCTTTTAACATATTGTTTTTTGTACAGATTTAACAAAAAATACATAATAATAATAAAAAACTGCAGAGCTTTTTTTACCTTTGGAAAGCGTCAGATCAGATGTTATTTCCTGAAATAAAACTGCAGATATGTAAGCAGTAAGGACATTTCAAATACTCTAGAAATGATTTTAAGTTTGCATATTTTTGTGTCATATTCAACACACTGATAATACAGCTTCTATGACACGTGTTTGTCTAGACAGTAAGTATAGCTGTCAGATGTAGTCGAGTAAAAGCGAGACTACGGTATTTGCCTCTGAAATGTATGAAGAAGGATAAAACAGAAATGCTGCCGCATACGAGTAAGTACGGCACCTGAATGCCACCGTGTGCCGCCTTTCATAACACTGCTCCGACGTTCAGCAGCTACTTTTCCTCAGCGGGAGACACTGCTGCATCCGCCCATGAGCTCCTAAAATGGTTTGTTGAGAGCGTCGGGCAATTAACTTCGAGCCATTCGGGGCTAAAAAGTACAGACCTGTCGTGTTCACAGCTTGAGTCACACCTTGATGGACAGAACACATAATGATGATGATTCAAAGCCCAGAACATGCCTCACACACTCCTCTCCTGAGACCATTTGACCTGGCAACAGACCTTCTGGTTGCTGTAGAAGGTGTCCAAGTCCTCCAGAGGGGTGGACACCAGCGGGGGAGGGATGTCCCCGTAAATAAAGGGGAGGGATTTCCCCGCCTCCAGGTCGCTGTTGGGTCTGGGCCCATTTTCGTCGTCGCAGTCGCCGCGGCGATCCGCCCGCGGTCTCCGGGCCTCCTCCTCGGCGATGCGCCTCTCGATGGCGGCCAGCGACTCGGGGCCGAAGGGGCAGAAGCTGTCAGGTCCGGGCGGTACAAGCAGCTGTGCCATCTTGTCATCCTGCTCCTTCAGAGGGCAGAGAGGGGCTCAACTGGGGCAGGAGGCTGCGGAGAGAGAGGGGTGAAGGGGACGGGGGGGGGGGGAATCGTTGTTACACACACCTGTGGAGGTTCATGTATTACATATTCTTCATCAAAACAACACGTCGTTAAAGAAAGAGCCCGGACGTATGTCATGTCATGTCATTTTTAGTTCCGTGCCCTGAAAAATATTCAGAACAATTGGCGAGAGGAAGTGGAGCTGATGGAGCCGTGTTACGTTGACACTTGACGGCGTTACACAATAGTTACTCGGTAAGACCTGGTAAGATTTCTGTGCGACTTCTCCATAAATCCGACTCAGGCTCTCGGTGATGCATGAGGCCAACGTTCTGAGAGGCCCTTGCAAGTGGAGAGTTTTTGTTTAAGAAAAGAAATATGACCCGCGAGGAGTCAGTGGGAGACTCTGATGGGGATTAGCTGAGGTTAATCCAGGTGTTCATCCAGGTGTGTTGATCACCGGGACCAATGAAAAAGCAATTTAGGACCCAAATCCTTCATGCTGTTTCTAAGAGGTTTCATTTTTCATAGAAAATGTTCTTCAGTTTTACGCCCTATTGTCTCCGGGAAAATAATAGTTTATCAAATTTTCTAAGACGTCTTTGACACGCGTCTGCTCAAAATAACAGAAATACATTGGATTTTTTACAGTGTACCGAACTCAAGGTGAAGCATGACTTTTTAACTGGACTACGGACCAAACCATTAACTCCAATGAATCGATTGATGGGTGCTTTCCACCTCATGGACGAAGTGGTTTTGTGGGAGCGAGAGGCAGGCTGTCTGTCTTTTAATGGCCTCATTATTCAATTGATGGGCGCAAAAGAGCAAAGTATGAACTGCTTTCACAACAGAAACTAATGCAGTGGACGGTAATTATTGATTTATTCATTGTTGCCTCTGTAAACCATTGATCACCCTTCACGTCCAGAGGAGCCAGTCATGGCCCCGCGGGAAAGGCACACAAACAAGATCTTCCCCAAAAACCTCTGGAGACGCGGCCCGTCTACCACTTGTTTAACTTTTTCATTTTTTCTCAGAGAGAGAATTTGGAGATATTTTGATATTGAGGCAGCGACGGTGAAGCAAGAGACTCATGGTAAAAGTCGGGAACACCATGTAGTCATTTATCAAAGTTCCCAAAAGCCGTTTCCCACCAAAATGAGCCTGTACATGAAGACTTTTTAGATAAACACGCTTTTATATTCTGTATTGTTCTGTTGTGTACGGTGGGAATTTGTTTTTTGGCTTACTTATTCAGTCTCTCTTTCAAACTCTCAAATCAAAGTTGGTGACAGCAAATGTGTTTTTTTTGTGAATTTTTCATCTGTGGAGCTTAAATGTTAATTTCATAATGGTCTGACCAAAGACTGAACACGGTGGTGTCACGGTGTGGGTTATTTCCTGTCTTATTTTGTAGTTTCTGCTTCTTGTCTCCCTGGGTAACTTCACTGTCTGCCTGGTCCTGTCGTCCCCTGTGATTGTCTGATTGTTTCCACCTGTGTCCAATCACCTGCCTCAAAACCGATGGCAGTGGAGGGATGAATAATACTCCTGAGAACACCTCTAAAAGCTCACTAATTAACACGTTATAGCCAAGACAGCCCCCGTTTGCAGTCTTTATGCTAATCCACCTCTGGCTAATAAACCAACAGATATCCTTTCTAAGAATTCATCAGGCGTGAACTGTGAATTAATTGCAGCTTCTCGCATCGGGTCCTCATGAAACGCATCTGCTCGCGTCTCAGCGACTGCCCCGGGACGCAGCGTTGTGACGTGTGGCCTGACAGCTCGCCGGCTGCTGGGTGGTGGAGGAGGGTGGAGGAGTGGGGACAGGGGGGGGGGGGTTGTGAGTCCCGATCGAGCCCGTAGGCCCGACATTCACACCCGTGGCTCGTCTAGTATCACGGTCTAAAGAACCTCCGATATTGGGGGGGGTTTCGATCAAAATGGAGAATCATTTACTATTAAAGGTTGATTTATAATAGCTGCAACGTTTGTGAGCTTCTGCATGAGCTAGCAGCTGAAGGAAAGGTTCACATTTTGCTCACATTCATCTTAACACATGTCCATGTGCATTTAAAGCAGGTTTTTGGGGGGTAGTTGTGGTTGCAGTGGCCATGACAAGATCACGTCCTGATTTAAAGTTAAGCGTGCTGAGCTGCGTATTAATTGGTCCACCATCAGCTGTTAACAACACAATACCACTAAACTACTTTACATTTTTCCCACATTTAAAAAGTGAAATGTAAAATGACAATTGATTTGTGTAATTTCATCTGAAGCTGAATGATATGCAGAGAGGGCTCGGCACACAAGTATTATTTCAAATTTTAAAAAAGACAAAGAAGATCCTTTAAGATTCCCATAACAACACGTTCACATGCCTCCTTCAAGCCACGTCACACTTTATCTCTCTTCATTCTTACTTTATTTCTTTGTGGAGCAGCTGCCTCATAGAACAAAACAACGAGTGGAAACCTGCCCTCTGTGTACCGACACAACAACAACAACAACAACAACAACAACCACAGGCGGGGCGTCCACGGGCTGCATGGACTCTCTGCTTCCTGCCTCCTCACACTTCATCCCAGTGGCTGCGAATGTCACAGGGCCGCTGCTGTCCATGGTGCTTAAGAGAGGAGGAGGATGGGGGGCGGCCATGTTGCTGGTGCGTCTCAGAGACACACACACACACACACACACACACACACATTTCTCATTGTCTCAAAGCGAGAGTTAAGCAGCATCAAATGTGGAACACGGTGAAAGGGAGCAACAACTGGTCCCTGGACGGGTCTCAATGAGTCTGGGCGTGTCCTCGGCAGATGCGTCTCTGCTGCTTGTAATCAATCCACTTCACAGAGATCCGCCGCCTCACTAAAAATAGAAATATGCTCCGTTTGCATTTCGACGGTTTGATGTGTTAAACCCTTTGTGAATGACGGCCCCTGCACACACGGACCGGGCCCCCGGCTGCCCGTCTCTGAGCGCGGCTTCCTCCATCCTGCGCCTCCGGGGAGAGGGAGGGAGGCAGGGGGGGGGGGTCTTATATCTAAAGCGCGTTTCGGTTATTTATCGTTCGGAAATAACAGCACATTCAATATTCAATTACTAGGCAGTAAAAAGGCCAATTAAAAACACCCGCCATTGCCTTTGTAAAGTGAATTCTTCATTCTTCTTCTGGGCTTCATTTGCATGACGTTTAATGGAGGACGACGCTCTCAGATGCACAAACACAATGTGGATTTTGGGGACGTGTCGGAGACACATCAAGGACCGCCGCGACAACACGACACACGTCCCCGCGCTCACGTCACGTCGATGTTAGGACTATTTACCCGGGTGTCGTCGCCCAACTGTTGATCGGTGTCGACGGAGCCGCGTTGTTACATCACTGATTTCCGACGGTACCTTTTTCTAGAAAAACACTCACCGGCATCAGGGCGCCCGGCAGGTGTGGACCCCGAAGGTAGATCCCGTCTGCGGAAGAATAATCCTTTGAAGGGGCTCGCCGGTCAATTCGCAGTTTCGAAACGCTCGTCTCCCCCTTGTGAAATCATTTAATAAGCGCCCCTTTGATTTCTTTTTGGGGTTTTTTTTTTTTTTTTTTAGCCGCCCTTGTTCGCCGTGTAGAAATCAATCCGCGCTTCCGGTCGGTCAGGCGTCGCAGGCGGGGAATGAAGCCGCTGTCACGAGGTCGGTCCCGAATGGACGCGTCTGTGACGGAGAGCCGGGAGGGACCACAGGTCCAACCATCAATCACGTTACAAAAAAAAAAAAACAGTCAGTCGGGTTTCATTTATTACCTGCTTGTTCTATAACCTAATTAATTAATCTGATTCGCCATAAAATTGCTATTCTTAATGCAACCGTTTTGAAAAGTTCCCAGATGTTTATTTGATGGCTACAGTTGGTTTGTTTTAGAGAACACTTTTCAGACCACTATTTTTTTTCCAGGCAACACAAGTGAAGGAAAGTTTATTTTTACACAGTACAACAAAAACGTGATTCAATACAACCATTAAAACCAGTGGTGTAGCCTATACGCAGGTATACGCCGTATACCCACCAACAAAAGCACGATGATACAACATCGTTGTGACAGAATGTTCAGTCGATCGAGTGCGATCAATAAAAAAACGACCAAGATAATGTCCTGGTCCTCTTTCCTATTTCTAACTAAACTAAATCTTCCTCAGATTGTTTTTAAAGTCCCCGAACCAAGGTTCTACGATAACCTTTCTTTGGTTCCCTATAGACTAAAGTTTTTGAAATAGCATCGTCCTTAAATCTGGTTCAATTAAAGGCAGGAAACAGGAAGTCTTGAAGCTGCTGAAGTCTCAGCAGACCTGCAGCTTTCTGGTTTGGAAGTTTGTTTCAGATACGTGGAGCAGAAGATCTGAAGCAGCTTCTCCGTGTTTGGTTCTGACTGGGAACCGAGAGGAGACCAGTCCCAGATGACCAGACGGGTTGGGATGGTTCATAACGTAGCAGGAGGTCAGACATATTTTGGGCCCTAATCTATTTAGTGCTTTTCAAACCAACGGCAGGATTTGAAAGTAAATTCTTTTAAGGCCCGGTGAAGACCTCAGAACCGGAGCGATGTGATCCGCCTCCTTGGTCTTAGTGAGGACTCAGAGCTGCAGCGTTCTGACTGACTTCCTACAGAGCCGCGTGAACACGTTGAAGCATCAATCCTCTAATCCTTGATATGTTCTTCAGGTGATAACAGGCTGATTTGTTAATCGTCTTTTTATCCGAGGTGACGGTTATTCTCATTGCATGTCTATCATGTGTTGTACAGGCAGCACCAACAAAAAGGGAACTTCTAAACCAAACAGACTTGACTCACGTGGAAGAACTCTTTGGGGTTCAGACGTCAGTGGGCTGTGACTTTTTACTGGTAAACTCACGCCACCTGCTGGTGCGTCAGCCCAACTACACCCACACCTGAGTTAAGTTCATGTATTACGCTAATGAGGTGGGTTTGAAAAGCAGTCAAACTCCATCAGTCACAGAGTCACGGTCCGCAGAGGTGGACGCACCCGTAAGCTCAGCGCAGCATGACGCTCTTATAGTTCCACTTCCCCATGAAAGAATACAAAAAACACATATCTCATTTCCTGTCGGGCTCATGCCTGGTGCATATCTGTTGTTTATCTGGTATTTCTATAAATCTTATCCCCTCCAGGAGGGAGGAGAGAGCGTTCTCATCCGTGTCACCTTCTTCTGCCTCGATGTCAAGCCCAGTAAGAGGCTTCTTTGCCTTGACTTTTGCCAGGTTTGCTACATCTATCCAATGTAGGTTAGTTTTAACTTTAATATTGATCTCCAAAAAATAGGTTAGACAATATTCTTGGAATATTTATTATACATATTTCCTGGGTATTTTCCAGCGGTGTGAGCAACGTTTCAACAGTCCAGATAGCCGTGGCAGCTCTGTGTGACTTTGCTGCATGTTTCATTAGAGGCACGGTGACGAATGTGGAGGTCTTGTTCAAACAGCGCGACGTCGGCATGAAGCTTCCACCTGCTTCTATCGCCTCTCCGTTCCTGGCTGTGTGTCACCGCGAAGCGCGTCCACATTCTGCAACGCCGGCGGACCAACAAAGTTCCCGGGTTCACACGAACCCCTTTCATGAATAGAGTCTCTACTCGCGAGTGTTATTATCGGACGTTCGGGTAGAGCACAACACGAGGAAATGAATTCACAATGTTGCCATTCTTGATTTCCTTCGACAGGAACTGCAAAGCTTGCGCGTTGTCACGCCATCGCACGCGGCTGGTCCGGCGTGGAGATCATGCTATGGGCCTCTGCTAAGATTGAAAATAGATGATGGACTGCTACAGTGCCTCGCCCTAGAAAAACGTACATACGTGCTAAAGGGAAATATCAAGTCGTTTGCAAAGATTTGGAGCTGATTTAGGGAGGGAGAGGATTTTGTTGTAACCCTGTAGCCTCCGTTTGGGGAGCATTCCAGTTCTGGGGTGTAACAAGTATCTATCCGTGCATCCGTCAGTAACGCCCAACAATGAACCAAGCAGCAGTTGTCTTAACAATAGGTTCCAAGTTCTAAAGGCTTTTAATTGTATTTGATTTGAAACAAACAGTGAAAAGTTGCTCCATAGATCAGCCGCACATTGTTATATAATTCCGTTATGAGATATTAAATACAACGGTTTCCAACGTATCTTTAACCTCGGGACCTCCTGGACCAAAGCTGAGTCCACCTTCATGACCCATTCCTCCTAGATCGTTTTATTTGAATACATTGAAAAATGTTCAATCAGCAAGACAAAAGTTATTACAGGAAAACAATGTATTAATGTATACATTTTCCCATCTTACGACCTATTAGCTTTATATTGTGACCACTTGTGGAGGTCCCGATGATCAATGCAACCACAGAGTTATTTTTGGACTCTCATTGCAAAACCATTTGCTACATTTCCCAGAGGAGCAACATGAACACCAGCTAAAGACGTTGGAGTGAGTAATAGGAACAGAGAACGTGTGACTTTCCAACAACATCCTTGCGTCTGAACAAGTAAGACAGAGGATATCAGATTAGCGACGGTCATTCTAAATCCTGAGTGCATCAGTCGTTTACGGGGATTAGTGGCCTTTGACAAACTGAGTGCCATATTTATCAGCCTGGGAAGAGTTTCCACGTTGCAGACTGGTAACGCCAGCAGGTTACCAGGCACACGCCGGTGAAGATGAACACACAGCATTCACACAAACACGCAGCCATGCAAAGTAGTGTCACGTGACATGGGCAGGCCTGTAGGTGTGGTCGCTGCCTCTGATGCACAGGGATTACATCAGTGAGGGAGGGGGGGGGGGTGAGAGAACATCTACGTTCCTCAACCCTCCCTCCTCTTAGCACTCAATAATACAGAAGAGACGGCTAATAGAGAAGGGAAAGACTCTGTGGACACAGGTGAGTGCAAAGAGCTACGGGTCCGTGTGCAATCAATGGAGTGTTTTCTAAAGGCGGGCGGCTTGGAGGCCTTTTAAGAAAGCACTAATCCCTCTTACCGGAGAAAGAGTGTAAGCTTATTTAGAAGTCAGCATTACTGCTTGAACAACACGGCCGAGGACAGACAGGCTTCTTTGGGACTGCATGGGACGTGTGCTGGGTGGGTTAACATTCATTCACTTCATTTAGCTGTAATTTAATAGCAGAATCAGTTCATTAGAGAAATAGTGGCGTGATTCTACTTTTCTACCACTGAACTAATTGTTTGTGTACTGAAATCATTTATTTGTGTAGCCTCAGTTTGATACTTGTATTTAGCAGTAGGAATAAATAAACATGTTATATGACCAGTCTGACACATGTCACACGTTTACATTGTGAATATAGGCGTGTCGATATTTAACAACTTAAACTGAAATGATTAAAGTATTGAAGTAGTCCGTCCTCGGCCACCTTCATGGACCGCTGACTCCAAAAAGACATGAAGACACGAGGGGCGTCGGCGTTAATCAAACTGTGTGACGAGTCCTACGCAAAGGTCAAAGGTGGAGAGAGAGAGAGAGAGAGAGAGAGAGAGACGCTGCGACTCGCTGTTTGAGAGAAACACGCGCCGCGGAGTGACACGTTCAGTGGCGTTTGGTTGTGATTCGGTTTGCACCGCCAGGTGAGTGTCACGTTCCGCGCTTCGGGAGGAACAGTTGATATTTTGACAAAAGTGTACTTTCTTAGTGTATTATCTTAAAAGGTTTTAAGCTCATTTAAATTTTTAACATTTTTGCGCAGCTTACCGGAGTTTCTTGACCAAATAATGCATCAATAAAAACGATTATTAGCCACTAGTTTCATTGCTAATAAACATTTTTTCTTCATTCATGGGTGTTGGGGGTCAGACCTCCCCCCCCCTCCTGCTACCTGCTGATATCCCTCTCACCTGTCCAGGAGCTTCGCCTGACCCCGAGCGGCCGCTTCAGATCTGGTGGCGGCTTTCTGCGGTCCGCTGGGATGGACGAGCCGGCCGATCCTCTGGAGAGAGACCACTTCCTGTCGGTGCTTCTGCCGGGGGGGCTGGAGAAGAACGCCACGGTGCACGGAAGGTGGGACACACTGATCCGGGGGTGTGCACACAGGGCCGATTGTATCGTCCGATGATTTTGGGTAGAGTTGGCTTCTCAATTCTTAATTTGCATGATTTTATTAATGGCCTGAATCCATCTTGGTCCTGTGCTTTTTTTAGATTGCATTATGGGAAATGTAGGACCTAGTGTTTCTCACCGCTTGACTCCTATCAAGGGCTTATATCTGGAACTCTTTCTTCATCCTTCTAAGACAAATCCCAGAAAAGCCTTTAGTAGATCTTAACAGAAAGATCTTATAAAAAAAGCTGCAACTTTATTTGCATATTCATAGAGACAATACAATTATCTTACAATTCAGAATTCAGTTGATTCCCTCCCTGGAAAATCCAAATTTTATGATAAACTTGCACCAGCTCTAATTTAAAAACAATATGTGAATTTCGTAGCTCTGAAGGTTGATCATGGTGGCTTATTTCCTCCTCTTAACAGCAAACCGGTGATGGACTTGCTGGTGACCCTTTGTGCAAACTACCGTCTGAATCCGTCCGACCACACCGTCGAGGTTCTCTCGCCCAACAAGAACAACATCAGCTTCAAACCCAACTCTCCCATTGGCTCGCTGGAAGCGGAAACCATCGTGCTGAAGCCTAAAGCCGCGGAGGAAAAGATCAGGAGGCCGTACATGCCCGAGGTAACGACCACGAAGCCCGAGCTGATTTCATTAAGTCCGCGGATGCAATCCGAGCCGTAAACAAAAGAAAAATCAATATTTATCTTGGCCTGTTTTTAAGTACGCGTTCATTTCACGGTTGAAAACCGAGCCTCTCTCTCTCTCTCTCTCTCGCTCTCTCGCCCTCTCTCGGCAGGCGTCCGTACGTCTGTTGATCAACTACAACAAGTCCCACAAGGCCGTGGTGCGAGTGAATCCCAGAGTGCCCCTCCAAATGCTGCTGCCCGCCGTGTGCGATAAGTGCGAGTTTCCAGTGGGGACCACCGTCCTCCTGAGGGACTCCGGGTCCGGAGAGCCGCTGGACCTGTCCGAGAGCCTCAATGACCTCGGGCTGAGGGAGGTGTTTGCCAAAGACACGGCGGGAAGCCGTGAGCACGCTGAGCTCCAGCGCCGACCCGACACCCCCGAAGCAGCAGGTGTGACTTCACTGCTTCGCTTTGTTCTCCAGTTGGTAGAAGTTGGGCGAGCTGCGCTCATGCTAGAAGGGACGCAGCAGATCCTGCGCTTTGCAAATAGCAAAATTGACCCATGAAACGATTCGGGGAGGGTCTGGTAGAACATGATGAAAAGCGTGAAAGTGAAAAAGAAAGAAATTGTTGGTGGGCCTGAAGTGAAAGCGGGAACCTCCCTTCCTTCTGTACCGATACCGGCACGTTCGCGCTCGGCCGGCGCTCCCTCCGTTCACATCTACCCGAGGCTGATCTCTTTCTTTCTCATGCAGACCCGCCAAAGAATGAGAGGAAACCGAAGGACAACACGGGGTTCCTCAGCCTATTCAGACGAAGGAAGCAAAAAGGCGAAGCGGTACGGAGGCGCGGCGCGGCTTGAATCTAACCCGCGTGTCGCTTTTTTTTTTTTTTGTTGTGGCCTAACTGCTCCGGTTTCTCTTCTCGGCAGAGGGGGGCAGGCAGCGTCCCAGCTTCTCCGGGCCTCGGGGCGCGAACGGAAGCCTCCTCTTCTCACACCCTTCCGGCAGACGCGCCCATGAAGAGACGAGCCCCTCAGCCGCCCATGTGCGCCTCCCAGAGCGCCCCGAGCAACCTCGGTACCTGCCACGCCGCAGGGTCACAGGTGGGGTCTTCCTTCGGCTCCGTTTTCGCTCTTTGTTGATTCTCGTGACTGCCACAAATTGAGATTTCGATCCGAGTCCACGGTGTTTCCCGACCGACAAAGAAACACCGGAACGAGCGGGATGTCATTCGGTGTCGTTATCTCCCCGTAGATGTCTGCAGGATGCACCTTGAGGAGGACCAGGAGAAGGGCCCCGCCCCCCCCCGGTGCACACACAGGGGTTCAAGCCGAGGTTAAAGGTAAAAACCTTCGTTGATGATTGATGACCTCCTGAGGAAAATGAAGAATAACTAGTGGATCTTGAGGCTGTCAGATGACTACAATGGTTGTTCTGGGCATTTCATCTTCTAGATACAGAAGCCCTGAGAGGCATGTGAGTAGTTATTCATGTTCTAAGTGATTATTGTTTACCGTTGAAATTGAGCAGATCATTTGGTGTTTGTTGTAAAGCCCACTTCTGCCACATGATCTAAATGTGACCAAAACCATTTCTGTTTTGTACCGCGTGAGTCTTATTTTACACAGCGTGCTTAAACCCAAAATATGACCCCTGTGTTTCATGGAGGACACACAAATGCACCTGGAAGAAAACTCCTCCTATAGAACGTGTTGGAGTGGTGCACTTCGGCATCTGGTGGCTGAAATGAGTATTACAACGTGATTCTTACAAATATATATATTTCTTAATCAATAGGATAGAAAACCATTGGGATGATGGATCAGACTTGTATGTGGACCACTGTAGTTCCCATAAATAGGATATGCGGTCAGCGCCGGGTCCGTCCCCGTGGTGAGCCGGTTTGCTTTGCTATGCAGTGGTGATCGCATCGAGGTGGCACAAGACTTGACATACGCCGGTAACATAATCCCAAATGACCCGTTACAGTATTCTAGCAGAAATCAAATAGGTTTAAAGTGGGCTGAATTCCTGTATCTGCCAAATCCGCACGGCTCCAGCCGGCGCCCCACGGGGTCAAGTTAAATCAAGATTAAAATGTCAAAGCGAATGCCATCAAACGGGATGATTTAGCAGTTAAATCCGCCAAAGAAACGGCCCGCGTTTATCGAACAATTTAACCCCGACTCAGGGCAATTACAGCGGCCCGCGGAGCCTTGTTCATAGAACCCAGTCGTTTCCAAGATAAACCCCTGTGCTGTCTGAGCCCTTTATTCCCCTGTGTCAGTTCATCTTTTCCCAACCTCGACTCAGCTTCTCCCCTGACGGCTTTTAGCGGACGCTGACCGCTCTGTTGTCGGACGCGGGTCATTAGGGGGCCATGATTATGTGAGAAACACTCAGGCGAGCACTGAGGCGCTACGTAGATAAATAAAATAAATGAGAAAGCCGGAGACCAGAAAAAGTAAGATGTCAACTCTCTGTGTTGTAATTACCAGCCCCCCCCCCCCCGCGAGCGGCGTCTTGGTTCTGATTCCCGGCGTGGAACAAAGACAGCGAGTCCCCGAGCGAGCTCACGGGGGCTTCACCGCGTGTTCGTCCTGTCGTGACGGCGCCTCAAAGCTCTCTCTCCTTCCTGCTTACAGACTCTCTGTTACCTGGAGGGGCTGATTGAGGGGCTGCCGGTGCTGTCGTCTCCTCCCCCACCCGCCTTCTCCCCCTCCCACCGTCCCCTTTCTCCTCTTTGTCCTCCTCCTCCCGCGTCGGCCTCTTCTTCCTCCTCCCCGTCTCAGTGGCTTTTTACAGATGTCTGTGGCTGTTTCCTGCTGCACTTGGTGCTTTTTATTTGTCCTGGTTTTTTTTTGTCTTCTTGTCTCTCATTTTTGGGGGGGAAATTCTGTGACTTTCATCTGTTATTTTAACAAAGTTTGTCAGTATTATTTTATATTAATGTCTATATATTGTTAATATATGTTATATTATTATAAATGTTCTTTTTCCATAAATCAGTTTCATAGTTTCTATGTTGCATGTTCGTTTCTTTCTCTGCTAAATTATTTCTACCTCTTTATGTTTTGTTTATATTTATGTTTCGTTTCGATTCTTTTTCGGGAAAATGTAATGTTTTACTATTTCATATTGCTGTTTTATTCATTCTTACTAAGTATTTATATTACAATAAAAATGAATGGAAACCACAAAGATTTTTTTTTTTCTTTTAAAGCGTGTCTCCAAAAACATGAAAATGAATCACAGTGAATCACTGATTTTTTTTTTTTTTTTTTTAGGCAGATATTCCCAGTTTTGGGGATATTTTTGGTGTTAACTTTGCAGAACTTTGAAATCAATTAATTTCTTCAAAAGGACATTTCTCTTAATTATGCCCCTCTCCTGTCTCTGCAGGGGCAGCAGGCTCCCTGAACCCCGCCGAGGAGCTGAGCGAATGCGACCAGACCGACTTGATGAACCTGTCACCCTCACTATCTTCCTCATCACCACATCCCCACTGCTCCTCGTCCTCCTCGCGGCCCTTGTTCGCTCATCTCCACGAGGTGACCCGGCCTTCCTTTTCGAGGGATGGGATCTGTCCCGACCGCCCGCTGCGCTCTCGCCAAAGTCCTGACGTCGTCCGTTTCCAAAGCAAACCGTGGTCAAAGCGTTTGAGGACCTCCCGCCACCTTCCCAAAGTTCTCCAACGTCACCTCCTTCGTGTCCCCCGAGGCGTTCAGATAACGAGCTCTACGGGGCAGAACTGGAGTCCGTCCTGGCGTCCAACCTCCCCACCGAGCACGAGGCCCCCGCGCAGAGGAAGGGGATGACCACGTTCAAGGTGGTTCCCTCCATGACGCCGAAGGCCTGCGATCCAGAACTCGAACCGGACCAGATGACGGGAGGGCACGACCCCGAGAGCGAGGCTTCTCCTGAGGCCGAGAGGAACCCGACGGAGGCCGGGGGAGATCCACCATCCCCTGACGGATCGGAGACTCAAACACCTTTGCGGAGTCCGGAACCCTCGTCTCCCGAGACTCCGCCGCCCCCTCAGCCAACGCAGGGCGTGGACGACCAGGAGAATCGATGCTCGCCCGGGCCCGAGGGCGGCGACATCGTCCAAAAGCAGACGGAAGAGGTCGAACCCGAAGATCAATCTGGGGTGGCGCCCCCAGAACTTCCCAGTGAGGCTCAGGAGGATCCGGCCGAGTGCCAAAGCCCCAGTGGAGAGCCTGTGAGTCCAGACATGGAGGAGACGAAGCTGAGGAGGACGTAGTACCAGAAAAGGAAGAACATGACCTCTTCCTCCTCCACCACCACCCATCTTCTTCGATGAACACGTGGGGGAGGAGGGAGGCGATGCGACGGCTTCCTCTCAGCCAACCAGTCCCACCTCCTGCAGGCCCGTGCGAGGATTCAGCGCAGCGGCGCCGGAGCCTTCGGACACAAAGGGCGCGGCCCCGTCCCGGTTTGCTCAGGCGGTGGCGTTGGCCGTGCAGAGGTCCCGTCTCCAGAGTGGCGGGAAAGGATTAGGGCCCTCGAAGCCCGGCGGTCCACTCCCCTGAGCGCCCATGTCCACCTACCAATACGGTGAGCACGCTGGTTTTTAGTGGCGTGTGTGTGTGTGTGTGTGAAGAGTTTTGATACTTGCATGGTACTTGTAGGACAGCTAGACCAGAACTATTATTAAAGAAAAGCCATGAGAATACTTTGTGATACTCAAACACTGGCTGTGACGGACATGAGCATTAGTTCTGGGTGGTGCAGTCGTACCCCAGAGCTCAGTGCTGGTGTGACACAAAACGCCTCCCAAGAGACAGAGATCATCTGAAAATAGTTTTTTTATAGCCTGCTAGGTCCGACACACAATTTCCTTCCAAAGTTTGTACAGTTCGGGGAACTTTACATCGACGTTGCGTACAGGCAAAAGGAATGTGCATGTTTTGTTTAGACATTTCTTGGCGTGGAGACACTGAAAGTTTATTTCTGGACATTTGACTGTTTGTCTTGGGGCTCTTTTGTGAATCCTGCTTATGTGAGAAAGATGTCATGTAAATACGTGTGTGTGTGTGTGTGTGTGTGTGTGTCGCTGCAGGTGCCTCGGCGGCTTCTTCCCACGTCTTTTGAACACACGTCCGTGTTTAGGTTGAGGAGCGAGGACGCCGCGCCGCTTCCAGGGAACTTAAACAAAAGGCCCGCTGGGTCATTTCGTGGGGAGACGGAGAAGATTTGCAACTTTCAATGATTTGTTTCTATTCTTTGTCATTTTGTTGTCCAGTTTCACGTTTTGGACCTCAAAGCTTGGAACATTTTCTGTTGTCAATCAAGCCGTACGTACAGAACCCGGGTTGTTGAAGGGACAGCGTTCCTGTTTTTCTTTCTTCACTTCCTAGTTGAGTTTTCACTGAAGATGTGCCAAAGGGGAGAGCTCATCCCCGTGAAAGGCCCTTTCTCTGTTAGTCTTCTCCCTCCGGGCGTTCAGTTGTTTGCTTTAAGACAAGAAGACTGCAGAAAAACTCCTTTTTCTTTTGCAGCCACCAGGTGGCAGAAGAGCATTGTTTCTAAATATGAAATGTACTCGCACTGCGAGACGCATTTGTGAGATTCATCATGCGAGTTCTGGGGGAAACTTCTCATTCTGTAGCTCAATGTATCTTAAAAGTACAATTTTTTCTCTTCTAATAACTGCGGCTTGTGAATGCTCTTGTGGACCATTGTTCTGATATTCCCCTTTCTAAAGGCTGTCAAGTCCATTTCCAATTCCCCAGAATAAATGATTTTTTTTTTGTTTTTTTACCGGGCCATGAGAATTTCCTGCACATCCGACAACTACAACTGATGTTGGAAGCATCAGTTTAACGCCAAGCACGTCGACGCCTCCCTGAATAAACGCAGTCCACTTTGCTCTCTCACACACACACACACACACACACCTCGGGGCAACACTGCACAGCTATACTCGGGTGCCAAAAAGAAGTCTGCACTGCTACAAGTATCGATCGGGCCTTGGCCTTGGGAGCTGTGCGAGGTAGAGACCAAGCCAGAACCGCCCGTGGCGAAAGCTCCACGTTTGCCAGGCCTGGACTGAGTGGGCTTGCTTCAAGACTCTCCCTCTCTCTCCCTCTCCCTCTCTCCCCCCTCCTCAGGTAGAGAGAGGACGGTTTGCTGGGGGATGATGGGAGGTGACCGTTGACCCTGTCGTGTTTCCCCCCCCCCCCCCCCCTCCCCCTCCCTCTCCTACAGAGGGGACGCCCGGCCCTCAAGGGCACCGCCGTGTCACACCGCCGTTGTCATGGAGAATGCCATTACCGCCCCAAAGGGAGAGAACCAAGTCTCGACGTTTCCTCTCTTCTTCTTCTCTTTTTTTTAATCTGGGGAAAAAAGAACACGTGCCCGGTGCTCTTGTTCTCTGTCCCAAGAGATGATGTTCCATCCAGTGACGACTCCGGGCATTAGCCTAATTTAAGCGATGAAGGGTGAATTTCACCCCGAGCAGGCGCGCTCGCGTTGGCGCAGACAAAAAGCAAGTCGCATGCCTTAATGCGGTGCAACGTGAAATGCTACTCTTGTCATGTGCGTTTACGATCCCAGATGCTATCGGTGCGGATCAACCTTTTTTTTTTTTTTTTTTTTTTTTAAGGAAAAAAAAAAAATAGACGCCGGCACAGAAGAGACTTGGGACGCTTATTGTTGAGGGAGCGAGATTCCTGAAGGACACGTCGGGGTTCAGGGAAGCAGAGGAGGCCGCGGCGTTGAAACCAGTGTGCTGCTTATGTATCTACATATATATACATGTACGCATGTCACACCTCTGCCCGTCCTGCAACCTTCAAAGGATTAGAAAAAGGAATGAAATGAATGAGTAGCTCCTTCATAAATGGTAACAATTGTTGAAGAAATAGCATTTCACTCTTACATATAAATACAAAAAAGGAGGGAACATATTTTTGATTCATGTTTATAATGATTATCAATTTATATTATTATGAAGTACGTCCAAAAAAATGAGTTGAGTTGATAATCCCCAAGAAAGAAAAATCTAATTTAGGTCAACACAGCGTTTCTGAGTGAAGTTAATTAAGCACCATATGTGAAAATAAAAGTGATGCAAGCATTTGAAATGTTTTTTTGTTTTTGAGCCCCCCCGCCCCCCCTTTATTGTTCAGCTCAAACGGTCAAGGTCAAATCCCAACAGAAGAGAAAAGGGAAGCGTCGGCTTTAATTCATCTGTTGCACCAAGACACCTTCATACCGATCTTCACTCTCAAGCATCCACGCTGGTTAACATTCACTCACTGATGCCATCACCATGAGTCAAGCTGCTGGTGCTCATCCACGTGAGAAAAAGCATCCTATGCATGTTGTGTTGCACAGAATACCATGATTACTAGTTTACACGAAGACACAATCAATAATACTGCATCGGTGCCACACACACACACAAACAGCACTAAAACACACTCATTATTTATTCATCGCCTCATCTCCTTATTCATCCGCGGTTTGCCGGCCCATCACATCGCCTTCCGGCGCGGAGATGCCCACGAGCCGCCGGAGAGCCGGGATGGGATGGTTGAAGCGGCGAGCGAGCGAGGAGGGGGGTCTTAAAGGGAGGGGGGGGGAGGCGAGGCGCGTTGGGTGCGCACATGTGCGCTGCGAGGGCCGCTAATATATGTGTGTTTACATGTGCACCTCCATGCTCGGGTAGAAGAGAATCAATAGATGAATCACCCAAAGCAGTGCAGCCCCCCCCCCCCCCCCCCCCCCCTCCCTCCCTCTCCGTCCCCCAGGCAGTGTGTTGCAGCTATTCTTTTCCACTCACCTTGGGGACGGCATCCATCGGGCCTCCCTCCCTCCCTCCCTCCCTAAAAGTGAGGCAACGGTTGCCTAGAACATCACCACCACTCGATGGGTGGGGGGGCTGCTCGGAAAGTGATGCAGAGAGAGAGAGAGAGAGAGCGCAGTTGACCCCCCCGCCGTGTTTGCGCATCCCTCCTCTTTGGCGGAGCGGCAAATCACGGAGTTGCGGCCTCATTGGCGCTGTCAGGCGCGTACAGTGGTGTTTATCTGCATGGCGCTGCTGCTTAACTGGTTCAAATGTTATGGAAATGATATTTACCTCTTCTGTGATCCTGTAAACTCCAAACGGGGAGGCCGGTTTCTCCTCCCGCTCCTTCCTCCTCCCCTGGCTGAGGGGGGAAAGCGCTTAAGGAAGGCGCTATAAATACAGACAAGGAAGGAAAAACATCAAATAAAATAGACGTCCAGGACTGAACGTTTTAAATCACCCCCCCCCTCTGATCCCTGGCACCATCGCGTACATCTTCAACTCTGATCGCGGCCTTAATCTCAGTGAGAACTCGCTCGGGTCGTAATGAGTGGACGTGACCGCGCGATGCTCACTTCTCACCGAGAGGGGGCGCGCTGACCCCTGCTTCACACCGGCGACAATGAGACGTCCCGCCCCCACCGGCAATGCGATGTGAGCCGCGGGACCGCGATCGCTCAAGTTGTTCCCAGTTTCAAATATTCCAAACGCCTTGTGTTCATATAGATACACATTGTGTATCATGTTATAATAATTATTAAAGAATAGCTGAATTTTAATTAAGGGAGAATTCATATTATACTACATCAAGCACATAGTTTCAGCTCATGTACATGGATTGTGTGTAGGCGCTGTTCTTTATAGTAATGAATCAAGTATAATGTAAATGCCATGTAGTTATAACTTAGTTTACCCAATAAAAAAACCACGTAAGAAAAGTAATGAACCCATTCCAGCTGTTATGTCTGCTCACAACAGCTGCAACTGTTAATAAAGAACTCAAAATACAAGTTGTGGTTTTTGCTGATTAAACTTGATTGCAATTTGTAGGTCAAAATAAAATACAATCAATGTTAGTGTAGCCCAGCTAAAGCTCGTGAGGGTGCATCAAAGATGGATCCAGAGGTGGATCAAACACACAAGTAATTACAACAAAAAGGGGTGCGCGTCGTAATTACACAAACGCATCATGGTGTGTGGGTTATAATTACACAAAGAACAACGTTTTCTGGCTGTTATTACACAATAAGAACAATGTGTGCAGGCTTTAATTACACAATAAGAACAATGTGTGCAGGATGTAATTACACAATACAAACAATGAGTGCAGGCTGTAATAACACAATACGAACAATGTGTGCAGGCTTTAATTACACAATAAGAACAATGTGTGCAGGATGTAATTACACAATACAAACAATGAGTGCAGGATGTAATTACACAATAAGAACAATGTGTGCAGGCTGTAATTACACAATAAGAACAATGTGTGCAGGATGTAATTACACAATAAGAACAATGTGTGCAGGATGTAATTACACAATAAGAACAATGAGTGCAGGCTGTAATTACACAATAAGAACAATGTGTGCAGGCTGTAATTACACAATAAGAACAATGTGTGCAGGATGTAATTACACAATAAGAACAATGTGTGCAGGCTGTAATTACACAATAAGAACAATGTGTGCACGCTGCAATTACACAATAAGAACAATGTGTGCAGGCTTTAATTACACAATAAGAACAATGTGTGCAGGCTGCAATTACACAATAAGAACAATGTGTGCAGGCTGTAATTACACAATAAGAACAATGTGTGCAGACTGTAATTACACAATAAGAACAATGTGTGCAGGCTGTAATTACACAATAAGAACAATGTGTGCAGACTGTAATTACACAATAAGAACAATGTGTGCAGACTGTAATTACACAATAAGAACAATGTGTGCAGGCTGTAATTACACAATCTAAACAAGGTGCACAGACAATAATTACACAATAAGAACAATGTGTGCAGACTGTAATTACACAATAAGAACAATGTGTGCAGACTGTAATTACACAATAAGAACAATGTGTGCAGGCTGTAATTACACAATCTAAACAAGGTGCACAGACAATAATTACACAATGAGAACAAGGCACTTATATGAAGTGTCAACCATTTGCCACCAAACATCTGCTTTGTTTCCCAGAGCTGCAGCCCATATGTACAAGTATTGGCAACAATAACCATTAACGTGATCAGTAGGATCCAAGTATTTCATCGGTATCTCATCTCGACTGAGCCGCAGCGCTCAGCAGCAGTCCTAAAAAATATTAGTTTGTTTCTTTATTCTCCTCTTTCTTTTTTGTCTGTCATCATTAATAATTCATCTCTTTTCTTGGATGCTAAAACAACAACAAACAGAACAACAGCTCAGATAATGTATTCAGTCAAAAGCTCATTGTGTAGGGGAGGAGGAAAGGGGACAGCGAAAATGTGCACTGGAGTGAGACAAGAGAGCACCCCGACAGGGAGAGGCTCAATGTCACTCCGCGGCGTCGCGGGATGGAAGAAAAACAAACGCCAGAGGGGGAAAAAAAAAAGAGAAAGAGGAAGATACAGTTTGTAAGTCATAAAAGCCCAATTAGAGGCATTAGGGTCCTCAAATGGAGGATTACAATGAATCATTTTCGGCTGCATTTTTTTGGGGGGGGGGGCAGATTGTGCCATTAATGTGGGTGACAAAAAAAAGATTTATTTTAGAGACGGGGTAGTATGAAAAGCTCTTAATGCTGGAAAGAGAACTAAACAGTAATTCAAGGTTACATGAATATGGTGCCGAATCGGCACCCCGGGCCTCCATTGACTCAGCTGCCTTACTTTAAATCTCTTCACTCCCCCCCCGTCACCCCTTCATTTGGAGTGGCTCGACCTTGGATGTCTACGGTGTGAACCGGTGCCCCAGCTTTCACATTA